TGATGCACTTTGTCCTGCTTCACGATCGTGTTCGCAGATAGCATACTATGACCGATTCCTATGTACAAATGACATCTGGACTGCATCCCCTGCGGATTTGCCGTTTCTCGTTGAAGCGCCTTTTGACTCCATTCGACGCCTTCGTTTATCTGTTCGAAATTATCCTTACGATCATTTTTCTCTCTCTCTCTCTCTCTCTCTCTCTCTCTCTCTCTCTCTCATCCGCATACGAGTGTACGTGAAGACACGTATAAGTCTGCTCACCATATTCAACTGCTCGTAGCATAGCCTAGCGGCCAACAGACAGGGCATTACTTTCTGAGGCGACAGTCTGGCGACTACTTTCAAAACTCTATACGCATGCATGTATCTGCCCATACTAATCAGACACAACGCGTACTGCGTCCATATATGCACCTCCTCGTGCGAGAATTTCATCGCTCTCTCGAAAGACTGCAAATACGCGAGACAAAATGACGTACTGTGATTATTCTCATCGATACAGATATATCCCGTTGAAAGAAAACGTCGATTCTACACACAGTGAATCAATAACAATTGCCTGGATCTGAAAGAACTGGCGGTGAATTGTTTGTAAACACGAGAAGCCAACCATTGATAGTAACTAGTCTGGATTGTAATTGTTTCACGAGTGCGGAAATCGAAAGACACAATGCACATCTTGTTATTGATTCATCTTGTGTAAGATCTTTTATTGTACATTACACTGTGATCGCGTACAAACCTCAAATAAAAGATCCACTTGACTCCATCTAACGACGACAACTGTGAGGAGGTCGTAGACGGCGGTGGCGTTCTCGAATGCGTGTATCCTCGCCTCCTTGAACTCGGGCGACTGACTGAGAACAGCGTCCCTCACCGCCATCGCTTCGCTGATCAGCAACAAGAGAATCATCTCCTCGTACTCGTTTCTCGGGACAAACATGTTAGGTCCCACATACTTCTTTGGTTTCCACGGCGAGGTGGCGCCCGAGTAATGATTTGCTCTTCTGTGGCTCACGGCGGCTGCGAAACCGATATCGACATGAGATCGCGTCGTTGAGAAAGAGATATCCTCTCGCGTTTCACGCGTTAGCCGTACCCGTCGTCTCGGTTGGATCCTCCGGTGGCTTGTAGTCGGCACCGCTTATTCCGCGCAGCAACACCTCCGCCAACTGCCTCGTCAACGTCACTCGCAAGCTCTGAGTGGTCGTGGACTCAACGGCGGACAGAATTTCCCTGTTACAACGGAGAAATTAAAGTTACCCATTGAGAGAGTCGTTGAATGCGTGCGTGCGTGCATTGATGTGAATAAAACGCACTTTAGATGAAACTAAATATTGAGATGGATGATCATAAAATGGCGGCAGATGAACGACTCTAGAAAAACCTCTAAATACACAATTTACACGCATACCTGTAACGATGAACAGCGGCTTGTATGTTGCCGGTTTGAATGTATAATATCGGTGCTCTTTGCAATGCAGTCTCCAAGATGGGGCCGATGTGCTTTGTAGTGCAAACTGGGGATTGCGTGGAATATGTACCTGGAAACGTGAACGTTATGACGTTAAAACGCGAGGACGCGAGATAAGCTCGTGTTTCGCGACTGAGACACCCAATGATCACCTGTGTTATTTGTGGTGGAGATACCATTCTGTTGCTGCATGGCGATTTTGTCTTGCTCTTGTAAATACACCAGTGTTAGATCGCCGGAGATTTCATAACACTTGATTATCTGCTCATGCCATTCTGCGATTTTATACTTTGACTTAGAGTTTGGTGGCAGTCTTTCCAGGCAAAGACCTAGACGAACGTTGAAAGTTATACATGAACCATTATAGTCGTTATAGTAGATATATTTGACACATCGGTGCAGAAATTATATGTACAAAAAAAGAAAAACGCAGAGCTTTTTTACTCTAGTAATCACGAATATGTAATAAGATACTTTATGGAATTTGTAGCTTCGTCTCACTTTTCGTTAATAAGGGCCCTCACACAGTGTGTTAGCCCCAAACACCCTCTATAATATTATCAATCTAGACATATTCTCGACAGAATCGAGCAGACAAGAGTAAATTTGGAGAGAAGCAAATACAAAAGAATTTCCCTTTGATTTTATTTTAGTACTAAATAATTACGCTAATCATATGCTAAATATGAGATAACGTGCTGATGAGAAAACATGTATACTTTTGATTAAATTTAATTACAGAAGCATGTGCAGGCACACTACTCTATGTTATAATAAAATGAGAATTATGTTAAAATGTGCGATATAGTTGACGTGCATATCAAATAATCGTAAGCGGAATGAAGCAAATAAGCATACAAACCTTTGATTGCATACGATTCTGCTATAATGCGCAGTCTTCGGCAGGACAAATGTTTGTCTGTGTCTAAAGTAAATCTTTCTTTCTCTAAATCATACACAGGCCATAGTAATAAATGAATATTGGGTGATCAGAAATTTTCGAATTAAATAAATGCGTCTAATTAATCTTGTTACTAAGTGAAACTAGTGCATAAGAATACTAATAAAAGGATAATGTACGCAGTAGTAGAATTTTCGATATACTCAAATTAAAATTATACTATTTGTTATGGGTCATCTATACTTAACATAAAAATGTCTTACACATCAAACGTATATGTATATATATATATATATGTGTGTATATATATATATATAGATATAAACATGTTAATCATATATCATCACATAACTATCTAATAAAAAGACTGACTACTGTTAAGGGAAAAAAACACAGAACTATCAAGCAAGCTGTTATGTGTACCTCTTCAAATATTGCACTAATATGTTCTACTATTATTAGAAAAAAAAAAAGATAGAAAAGAACTGTGACTGGAACAATTAACAATGCAAACCTTTAATTGCATATGATTCTGCTATAATACGTAAACTTCGACAAGGTAATTGCTTTTCTGTGAGTGTGTCTAATTCAGCTTGTTGATAGTGATGAAGCGCATCTTTGTACATTCCCATCGCGTAATGAAGTTTTCCAAGTAGCAAATGAGCATCCAGCACAACCAAAGCCTAGAATATTACATGTTATTTAAAGGAGAATAAAGAATGATACAATATTATTTCTTATCACAGATATTCTTGGTATTTTGATACTGATATTTAGTGACATTCTTTTTCAGCCTTTTTTTCAGATATCAGTCTTAATATGACTCTGGCACTGTGATACCTGTTTGTCCTTTTCATTAGCAGCTAACATCAAGTACTTCCGTGTTTCTGCAAGTCCATTTCTTGCTTTGCTAATATTGGCATCTATTGGTGGAGTTTGTTCTAAAAAACTCTCCAATCGTCCCTCTCCGCATAAGAAATTTGCCAAGCATTCTGTTATACAAAATACAGTAAAGTTGTTACAAAATCAATATCAACTTTTCTTCTTGCAGCTTATTAGTAAACTATACAATTTATCAGCATCTTAAACTGTACAATTATGATAACGTTAATAAGAAAAAAATATCTGCTTGCATTTATTTTGTTGTGATACACATGTGTGAGGCGACATATATCATATAAACTTTTTTTTTCTGTCTCTCTTTCTCTCTCTCTCTCTCTATATATATATATATGTGTGTGTGTGTGTGTGTGTGTGTATACGCGCACGCGCGTGCGTGTCATGTATATATCTTCATAATGTAACATAGTTCAAGAGTTCTACAAAACAGCGTGTGTATTGTCGCTGCAATTTGCAATAACAGTGTCAGAGCACACGTAACGTCGATAATGAAGCAGAGCAAGCGTGACGTTTCATACAAAAGAAATACATGGAGCAGTTATCCTTGATCTTTACGTGACGCGATATTTTTTGCTCCTTCTCATTATTTTTCTCTCGAAAAGCAAACAGGTTACGAAACAGCACAGAGTCGTTATCGAGGCAACAACCGTGAGTGACAACTTTCAGAGGATGCGTCATCGGTCGCGGGTTATCCTCGAACGAGTTCCCCGCTATGCGGAGTCGCGGGCGAAGGCGGGTAGAGGGCGAGAGCATTTACCATTGCTGGGATACTGCACTTTTAGGTGTTCCGCCAGCTCTATAACCTTCTTCCAGTTGCCCTCCTCGCGATTCCGATCGATCTCGGACTCGATGCGGAGGGTATGACTCTTCTTGCTCGTCATCGTGATCGCACGTTACGGCAACGGCAACGGCAACAGCAACGGCGGTGGCGGCGGCGGCAGCGGCGACGACGGCTGAAATCACCTGAACGCCCCTTCAATCGGTGCCGTGCAAGCACACGGCGTTATATTGATCATCAGTGATGCTTCTTCCTACGTGATCACAAGCGGCGGTCATGACAGAAGTCGAGGCCGCTGCCTTCTCACGACGAAATTTCGCTCTGAATATAGCACCAGATGTAACCACCACCGCGGACACGTGCGCGTGGCAAACTGTCACGAACGTCACAGCTGTCCCCCCTCCCTTACGGATTACTCGCACAATGCACATGCGTGCGATGTGAACTGCCTGTATTTTGTGGAGGATTCAAATGATATGCGATGTCCAATGAAAAAACTTGCTTTCTTGGGACTCCAGCTAGGAATATTAGTCTCTCGAAAAATTGGCTGCGTTCAGCAGAACAAAGTGATCAGTGAGCGCTTAGTGACTCTCGCTCCTGATTGGTAAATACTTCTGGGTCTATGAAGAATCTAAAAGAATGCTCCAATCAGAGACAATAATCACTAAACGCTCACTGATCATTTTGTTCTACTAAACACGGCCATTTACATACTAGAAACGTTGAGTTCTAATTGGTACATTTTTAATATGTTACCAAATTTTACTAGAACATAAAATCACACACTGCAGTTGGCTCAATATACTGACCTGTTATTTCAACGGACCAATAAGGGTATATTCATTAGACTTATTATTTTATTAGACCTTTTATTCTTTACCCCTTTATCTTTAATAGAAATATATAATAGCAAAATATATCTTTTATTGAAAAATATTTTTATTAATATTTTATAAAAAAAAACATGGTTTCAACTCAGGAATCAAAACAAACGTTATTGTTTGCAACAAAATTACCTTGTGTTAGAATTGTTGCAATTTTCCTTTTACAGTACATCAAATAATTTTTTTAAACGGTCCTTCCACTTTACTCGCGTGTCCACTATATTATGCTGTAAAAAGAAATTGAATATACATAATGTCCACATATGTATATTAGACTAAATATATAGAGTTGAAATATATGAAACAAAACCTGCAATATGTGTACACCACGTTGTGTAAGTACAATCAGTTCTTTCAGACCATCATTTGTTATATCCATATAGCTTATAGAATGTACAGGAGCATCAAATAGCTTTCTAACAGTTAATTCCCATGTATCATTCACTAATGTATAGATCAGAACCTCCTGATTATAAGTGCCAAGTAATATCTCATTTTGCCCATCCATATTTATGTCAGCTATGCAACAGCACAGGATACAATCTGAAGATTCACTACCATTCAGTATTACATCCTGTTTCATTCCACGTTCCAATATATCTCTGATAAAAAATCAATATTTTATGCTGTATATTCATTCTAAAATTTTGAGATATTCAATACTTCTCAAACATGTAATATATAAATTACTTACTCAAAGACAATAGCATGACTTGTACTCGAAACAACAACATTTAGTTTTGGCTTATTCTGCTCAAGAATATATCCTTTGGCTAAAACATTTCAAAAGTTATCTCTTAGATAGGGAACATATCGTACATGTAAGAAAATATCATATAAAAATATATTACAATATTTACAATTTGAATCTACGAAGACTGGTTTAACGATAGTATTCTGTTGTGAGAATACTGTCACATTGGGCACAGGTTGATCGTATCTCAGTAACCAACTTTGAAAAACTTCCAAGTCCACTACATTTACTATAGCAACTTTGACTAGACCACATTCACAGCCAACAGCAGTAACTCTCCTGAATTAACATGTTATATATGTGAGAATATATATGTTACATTGATAGAAAAATTGAACAATTGTTTATCATACAAACCATCTGTATTCATTGTAATAATAAATATTAATCCATAGGACAATGGTTTGAATATCATGTAACTCGGGAAAATATTTCTCAATGGAGGATTCACTATAACCATGGCTCAACTTATCTTCTCTTATCATATGTATCTTATAATCACTACCAGATATTAACCAGACTATCTGTAAAGTTTTTTTTATTATTGTAAAAGGATAAATATGTTGATTCACTGTAACTGCAATTGACTATGCTTCAATGATAGTTTTGATACAGCGCTGTCTTTTAAAATATAATAAAATATAAATTACCTCATGTGCGGAATTTTGCTGAGGTAAAATGGTGTGATACAAATGATAAGGAGTATAAGACAATTCCACCATAAGACAATTCTGAGCTATGGCTTCAATTGAAGTACCTTCATCTCCTTCACCATCTACTGCACCTTCTGTGTATATATTCAGATATCTCTCAATTGTGTCTGCACCTGTTTTAATAATTGTTATTCCTATTACAAAACTATCAGCAGTATCTGACTTATTGTAAGCGTCGATAGAAATAATTTCTGCACCACCTAAAACAAACATAAGATTTATACAAAATTTTAGCTTAACATACTATAAAAAATATACTTTTATTATCAATAAATATATAATTCTTCATACTGGGAATGTATGTAAAGAGCAGTTCCTTCACCATAGGTCTCAGGTTCAAATCTAACATTAGATGATACTCGCAGGAATATATCTTTCTTTTTAAAGATGCCACTAACAGTTTATTAGAACCATTAGAAGAGCATAATTTAGTCATCGAGTAAATATTTCCCTGCGACGCCAACGGGAACCAATGTGCATCTATCAGATTAATTATCATTGTTGCAGCTAGACAAGATATAAAGTTCTGTTTGAAACTTGTTATCTCAGATTTAGGTTATGTCTAATATAATCTTTCTCCTCTTCTTTTCTAAATCTGCTACGTTCGACCATCGTAAATATTTATTCTTTAAAAAAAAAAGAAACTTATTTTCACACCGTTCCACATCTTTTCGTCCGTCAATTATTTCATGCCGTTTTTAAATTTACCACCTATATTCAGCGTTTGCTTATTCAACGCTTCAATCTCGGTGAAAATTTCAGGCCCGTCCTAAACTCGATTATATTCTTCACACGAGATTTAACGTGTCGTAAAATGGTAGGGGATTATAAAAAGAGAAGATGTCCTTTTTTTTTTATTCGCCGACTCGTAAGATCTCGGCATCACGATAATACCGAATATATGACCCCTCCAATGAAGTTTCCCGAAGCTTCTTTCGCAATCTGTACCTTGAGAGGAGAACCGTGGATGACGTTACGTACGTGAAAGTGGGTGTGCCTGCGCGATTCATTGGCCGGCATTCGTACAGGTTGGATCGCGACTCCGTTCCTCATCAGTCATCTCTCGATTGATCCCCGTCCAAATTTTCCCACCGACGCTAGAAACCGTCAGAAACGGCGAGAAGCGAGAAAAATCGCAGGTGCTCCTGTTCTTCCTTCATCACTGTATCACCAGATTTCGGTAAGCGATTTCTGTTTGCTAAAACCGGCCGTAGAATGTTGACAGGTTCAAGTTTCCGAAACAATTCTTACACGACAATGACATACATTCGTTCTTGAATCGCGACGGTAGGCATTTTCGTCCGCCGCTTTTGACTAAAATTCCACGAAATCATTACTCATTGTCGATTTCGTCGACTCACATGAAACGTCAAACCGACGACGTTTGTCGAAACCGTGAATGCTAATAATATATAATGCTAATAATAAGAGGTATGACGCATCCGCTTCATTGTCACGCAACTCTGTTTGACAGACAGTCCTCGTGAAGTTCTCGGGCCAATCACACCGCAGAAAAATGTCGCAACAACAATATTATCCTTTTAAGGTATGTTCAATTTCGTCCTGTTGTTGTTGAAATTAAGGAACGGCAAGTTTGCTGCCGGTATTAATTAATGGCATTGGTCTATTTGCGGAACTCCGAGTATCGATCATCCGTATTTTTAACGTTAGCCTACTTTACAAGTCGATTCACGTTCTGTCAATGTGTGACTCGCGTGCAATTCACGTCGAGCAAAATTTATCTACTTTGACGAAACAACAAGTTTCATTATGAAATATATATGTATATATATATATATATAATGTTTTTAAATGTATAAATATGGTGCCTCCTCTCTCTGGAGATGATATTTTTCGCAAGATATGGAATAAAAATTGCCAACAAATTTAATTGGGATGAGTAGAGAATTAAAAATAGAATATTAGCGAGATATAGAATTGCCTCGACGACAGAAGGCGACTGTTACACTCGGTGTAACAACTGGCTTAAATTATCAAAATCGATTCTAAGTGACTGAATGACTAAATAATTTGTATTCTAAGAGCTTTAATTTGATACAAAATTGTGTTTATTGAAATGTGATTTTTCACGGAAAAATCATTAAGCTTTTCAAATTTTCGACTTGTATACATATATATTTTTTAAATATATTTATGATTATGATACATAATATAATATACAATATAATGTAGTATTTTTTTAACATGAACATTTTGATATACAGCAGATTTAAAAAAAAGTTCAGGAAACAAACAATTATAAAAAATAAATTATTACAAATTCAACAGTGCACTCCCACTGTGTACCCTGCCGAGCCGTTTGATGCAAATGCAGATGCTGCTATTTTGCGCAAAGCAATGAAAGGTTTCGGTACAGATGAGAAGGCGATCATCGACGTGCTTACGAGAAGAGGCATCGTGCAAAGGCTGGAGATTGCGGAATCTTTCAAGACTCTATACGGAAAAGATCTAATTAGTGACTTGAAGAGTGAATTAACTGGAAAGCTGGAAGATGTCATTGTTGCTCTTATGACTCCACTGCCACATTATTATGCGAAGGAGCTACACGATGCAGTGAGTGGTATGGGCACTGACGAGGAAGCAATTGTTGAGATGATGTGCACTCTCAGCAACTATGGCATTCGCACAATTGCTGCATTTTATGAGAATTGTAAGGCTCTTATTATTTTTATGTTCTTTTTATTAAATTTGTTATGTTCCGTCCTTATACAATTGGCACAGTTTGCTATTTGTAGCTGATATATTATATAATGATAGGATAATAATAATGATATATTATAATGATAACATAATGATGATATGATAAGAATAATTATTGATCATCATTGATCAATTAATACGATTTTGCGATTAATTAAAAAATATCACTTCGAACAGTGTATGGAAGAACACTGGAGAGCGATCTGAAGGGTGACACGTCCGGTCATTTCAAGAGATTACTAGTATCTCTTGTGCAAGCAAACAGAGACGAGAACCAGGGAATCGACCATGCCCAAGCAAACGCTGATGCCCAAGCGTTATACGAAGCTGGTACGTGCGGCAATTAGAAAATTGTATTTCACATATTTGGCAGTTAAAATTTATCCTTACCAAGTCACTTTACGACGTGATGCTCAATTCTTTATTTTCGCACACAGGTGAGAAGCAATGGGGTACGGACGAGTCTCAGTTCAACGCGATTTTAGTATCACGCAGTTACCAACAATTACGACAGACATTTATCGAGTATGAGAAACTGTCAGGGCATGACATAGAGGTTGCCATAAAGAAGGAATTTTCAGGCAGCATCGAGAAGGGTCTCCTCGGAATAGGTAAAGCCTCCTCCGCATGGGACGTAATAGGCACATTGATTACATATCTGTAGATTATGTCACGAGTATGTTACGTTTATAACATTCGTATTTGCGAATCGTTTTCAGTTACTAATTTCGTGATGTGACTAGTTCTATATATCTCTCTCTCGTGTCTCTGTCGAGCAGCAAGTGAAACGTATTTACCGGCGCGAGAACAGCCGATATAATTGTACGGGAAACTAATATAGGCACTTGCACGATATGATTTTCCTTTTAGTTGTGCTTAAGTGAATAATTGTGCGTTCCAGTGCGATATGCAAGCAACACTTAGCGTACAGTACAAGGAAATGAGCATAAGCATTCGAATATGACGGAGTACGAGTAATCGTGTTTGATAACGTAATCTTAAGAGAACGGAACTTTCCGTGACTCCATGCATTGACCATACACATTTTTATGCTTCCACGAACTTGCTCGTAAAGCGATTGAAAAGTATTTTCGTTAAGGCGGAGGCAAGTCACCACAGAGGAATCTTCTTATAGTATTGACCCTTACTCATCCGTAGAATGATTATCGATGTGTGATTGTTACTGCTGATTACCAGAACTCATTACTAGAATTAGACACTTTCCAACACACGAGCACACGCATCACATTCGATAAACCTTAGCGAAAAATTGTAGGCACACCTCCGAGGTTTTATTCGTATACTCTAATACACTCTGCCCTCTTCTACAAGCAGGAATGTGATTTTTTGCTTCTTTATGACATCATCCCCAGGATGCGTCCCCAGATTACATGATACATACGACACATGCGATATCTTCGATTCGTAGACAAGCACACAACGTGCGACATCATATTATTATGTAGTAATTATTAAACGAACACTTGAGCTGATTACCCCAAAATGCATGAAAATTGTATGGACATTTATCGGATTCTGTATAACATATCAATCCCAGTAACACTGCATGGTAAAACTATCGACACGTAATATATGAAATCACTCGTACCGCTACATGCTCATACATCTTATGTACAGATGCAAATACAGCCATACGAAACCTGGATTGAATATCTAGATTGAATATTGGTTTGAAGTACAGTAGATACCGTAGGGATTTTGTAGTGTAATTCCGCAGCATGAAAAGAGTATGCTCCTATATATCGGTTTACTCATGCTGTTTACATATTTTTATTAATTATATCAACGTATCATGCGTGTACTATCGTTTATTTAATAATACGTTACTACAAATCAACGAATCTCCTTCATCCAACAGTGAAATGCGTCAAGTCGAAAGTTGGATTCTTCGCTGAACGTCTTTATGCCAGTATGCATGGTATAGGCACAAAAGATCGCACTCTGATTCGTATCATCGTGTCTCGAAGCGAAATCGACTTGGGAGACATTAAGAAGGCATTCGAGGAACGCTATGGAAAATCACTGGAGAGTTGGATAGCCGTGCGTTTCCTAATTTCTTGTATCGTCTGAATTCATTGTGATTAACTACTACTACTAATGAGTATATTTGTTGCAGGGAGACACCTCTGGTGACTACAAGAAGGCACTTCTTTCTCTTGTTTCCACGTAACTTTGGCGAAGCAATTAAAACTCCGGGGATACATACTTGTTTCTGCAATCATATTGACGCATAATAATCGTATCTACAAAAAGCAAGAGCTACTTATGTATATCGAGTATGTATGCCTACACGCGGACTCAAGCTTAATTGCTTACTGTACTAATGAAAAGGTAGAAAGTACTTTATTCTATTTTTGAATGTTACTTTTTTAATATTTTTTTGAAATCTTTACTTTGTCATGTAGATCAGTTAAAAAGGATATAAACATACCATGTTCCGATCTTGTTTACAAAACATGTTTAACCCTGCTGTTTTGTTAGAGTTTTCCTTGTACATACTCGTATTATGTTTTGAAGTTGACGCAGCGATAACTTTTTATCATAATTTTAATCGAATATATTTGTCTGTGTATTGTATAAAAAAATATTTTTTAAAAACAAAAGACTAAAATATCAGAAGCGACAATTTCACTATTATATTTTTAATACAAGAATAGATGACGAATAAATCCAGACAAAAACAGCAGAGTTAATTAAATTATATTTTATATATTTCTACTTCTGTTACGATATATATATATTGAAAGATTTATACAAAGAATTTCGTACATATAGTACACATAAAAGCATTGAGAAATCGATGGAAATAAAATTGCAGGAAACGACATAGAGTTTATATATATTTTCTTACCTTCTGTATAAAGTTTCACAGTGTATTATGGTAAGTGTTCATATACTTTAATACATGTTGATTAAGATATATATATATGTATATATATATATATAGTTTTATACATGCTGCAGTCCGATTTACACATATCAGTTCTATATGTTCTTATTATCTCTGTATATTATTATTAACTTAACGTAAATTAAACTTACTGAAACATTATGCACATTCCGTATGTTAATCCCGAATTATACATTTATCTCATATATATCTTATATGTATAAATAAAAAAAATATTTAATTAAATTGTAGTTCCAGCAAACTTCCCATACAGTTACATGTCAATTAATTTTCTACTTGGCTTTTTTTCTCTAAGGCTTCGTCGAACAGGAACTAGAAATGTAGAGGAATCAATTTAATATTTCAAGGATATAAATATTTAAAAATTAACTGCACATAAATATCTATATGTATCAAATATTGACGAAAATGTTGATTGATGCATTATATTTTCTTAATGGATACAAGTTACGAAAATTATTTAACACATTACAGACAGCCTCTTTTTTAGAAACTTCCTCTGAGACTGGTTAAATCTTATGATATACAAAGGATTTAACTAGTTTTAAGTTTGAGGAATAGAAATAAAGATAATTTTATATTTATTTAACACATTCTTATTATTTACCTAAGTCTAATTCTTTATCTATAATAAATAAATGTTAATGAAAAATTACCACATAGTATCTTATCACTAACTAAAACTTTCTGTATGGTATTTTTTAAAATATTCAACAATATATAAAATTTTGTAAATTTTACAAAATCTTTGCTAATGGGTTATATTTACAGTATAACTCTAATGTTAGAATTTATTATTTAAAATTTTTATACATTTTTCTTTATTAAGATTGGCAATTCTTGGTTAAAATTGATTGTATAAATGCACAAATATGTATATACGGTCTATAATGTGTTAATATTCAAAACATTCTTCAACATAATTTATTAAAATGCAAACCTTTTTGATTAGAAATACTTCGATTCTTCTCTGTATGTTTCTTTATTCCAGAGACTCCTGAAGTTACGTTAGTCGAGTTGAATGTTTGCATTTTATTTTGATTGAACATAGCAGGCATTCTATAAAGGTATTTGTGTGTCGGCGTCATTAATATTGTATCTATAGGTGGCCATGGTGTGTCAGAGATTGTGTTGAATACTTCGGATTCATAAACCGAGTGTAAGTCAAAATTGTTTTTCCTGAAAATATATTTTCAGACATATACCGTTTTGTAAAATACACGAATTTTATATCTCGATATGTATACCCTTTCAATAAATTCTCTTGAGCAGTTATTATTATATTTATCATCCATTTGGACGATACTTACCCACATTCATCAGTCTCTTTATAAACATATGCGAACGGCCCATGTTGTGCAGTATATCGCATAAGATATCGGCCAGGTGTTAGGCACGACAGTTTTTCAATTACATTATGTAAAATTGCTAAAGAATCTTTCACTTTGATTTTGTAAAGTCTCTGTATTTCAGCGCTCAATGACATTACCGTGTGTCTTTCAATTTGTATTATTTCCCCTGATTCTGCTGCTATCCTGACTGTTGTAACACAAAAATAGTTTTATATACAAAATCTTATTATATATACATATATGTATACATTATTGTAATTATAAATACAATACCTCTAGCTAATGATGTATCTGGTCTGAACATTAATGACGTCCATTGCTCTAAGCTTTCTTCCAATGTTGCAGCTTCTGCTCCAAGTGCCAACTGATGCTCCAGTTTCGGGGCTAACATCAAAAGCTGCAACTGTCCGTTCGGTAATGCCTGTAAAAACAAAGTTTCCAAACTTTTGTGTATCATAATTTTATATTCATTATTAATGGAAAGTACACAAGAAATATTCTTACCTGGACACAATCTGTTTTGGTCCGAACTAATATCTGATATTCCTTTGGACTGTCTTTTATCAATTTACATTGGTTCTGAGATTCCATTGGTCCTATAGTAAAGAGATTGTATGTTACGTTCTCTTGCTTATTTATCAAAGATGAGGGACTTTTTTCAAGGTGGGTTTCGTCGAAACTTTTTGAAGGATTGGATATTTCTGCAACAATAACTTTTGTATTGAACATACATGTATCTTCTTGATGGTTCAAAATATTCACTAGATTCACTTACCACTCAATGTTTCGTGGACCTCTGTCATAGATTCATTTTCTTCCACAATTTTGTCTTCTTCTGCAAATGTCTTCCTAAAATATTCATTATGTGCTTATCATTTCATTTTTGTGTAATATATTTTTTGTCTACTCTTACCCATCTGATGATATAACTTCAGTGGAAACTGATGCGACTTCAGTAGGAACAAGACAATGCCGAAGAATGTATTTATATACCCAGGTATTCTTCTGCAATGAAGTAGCACCGGTAGGTGGTAATTTTTTATCGATATAAACAATATTCTTCTCATGATGCGATTTTATAACTACTGGTATTGCCCAAGAGTTTGGAAAATCTAAGGCAATGTTGTTTAATAAACACTTGAGACCACTAGATGAGATGACTAGATCCACTTTAGTGCTTTCTGCAAGATTTGTACAATATGTATCCTCGCTCACAGGTAATTTAAAATGAGGCAATGTTGATGATAAACTAGGTGGGTATTTTCTGAATAATATTTTACTGTCTATCTCCAAGAAATATGGCTTATCAAGTTTTGGCAGTACTACTTCTGAAAAAGTACCCTGAAAGAATAAGTTGTCTACATATATGTTTTGTAAATACAAAATTGATTATGAAATTGATCAATAACTGTTACCTGTTTTTGTAAACAAGATATAAACTTCACAATAATATCCTTATTTAAAGAAAATGGCACATTTGAAGTCTCTACATAGTATCTGGGGAGTTTCTTTAATTCAAACATCTTTTTGCCCCACCTTAATTCTATATATACATTATATTTAATAGGCCACGGAGCACTGTCATCCCATATCTTCTTGGCCAATGTTAGAAACTTATTTTGTTCTGTGGATATTGTCTTCTGTAATGCCTAGAAAGATACCCCTTTAAGTCATTATCATTAAATTAATCATAACCATGATGCATAAGCCAAAGTAAAAATATTATAATCATGTTTATCATCACAAATTATATTTCAAGTTTTATGTCTTAATCATTTTGAGAAATAGATATTCCCAATATAAGTTTAAAGTGATCAATATTTACTTACCATATAACATTCCAATTCTGTTTTCTCTTCTGCCAATGTTGGTGTTACTTCATAGTTAGAAAGTCGCAACAAAACACGACTGCACATAGCATGCTGAGTAGCATTTAAACTAGAGTTTCTAACAAACTGAGATGGTAACTTTCTCATACCAGGTACGTAGCATTTCTTATTGCTCATGATTTTTTCTTTTTTCATAGACTTTTGGTGTTTCTTGGTGTTTTGTTTTTCCTTACATTCTTCTTTTATTTCATATTTAATATTATCTTCGTCTTCATCTTCATCTTTATTTTCTTCCAAATCATTGATATTTTTAGTCAAGGATTTCAACTCCTCTATGTTAATCTCTTTATAATCATCTGCAATATTATTAAATGGATCTGTAAAGTTATCATTCATAATTTTGTATATTGCACTGTCCTTCTCCAATCTTTCATCTGTGATAAATACATCGTCTATTAAGTTCTCCAAGGAAATATTCCTGGAACCATAAGATATATTATAGCCTATATTTGTAGGAAAATGTTCAATTATAATAAAATATAATATATATCAACAATCAATTTTACAAATCAACAATCAAATTACTTGACAAAGATTGAGTTATATTCATGATAAACAGAAGTTACAGACACTGAATTATATTTGTGATAAAGAGAAGTTATATTGAATTACATTCATTATAAACAGAAAAAACAAATTTTATTATTAACACATAAACTTATATCATAAGCTTGTAAAATATTTTACAAAATTAATCTTGCATACCAATCGATTTGTTTGAACTTCTCCATGATTAAAAGATACGTTTTGCAGTCTATCACTGAAGAGACTGCTCATCTTCTAGAATACTGTCGTATTTAAGTGATGATGAACTACACGAAATCATTTCATGGTTCGAGCATATCTTCTTGCAACTCACCGGCTCGTTTACTTCATAAAAGCCTTTGCACGTAGAAAATCTGTAACTGCAACCGTAAGGTCGTAAGAAAACTGACCAATCACAGTCGATTGTTCTCCTTGCACTAGAGGAATAATCGACTGAGATTGGTCAGTTTTCTTACGGCCTTACGTTTACGGTTAAGGTCTGGTCTACAATATGTGTTATAAGCTGTAAAGTCGTAAGAACTGACCAATTATAGCCGATTATTTTTGTAATAATCGACTGTGATTCGCCAATTCTTACGGCTTACAACTTACGACACGTATTGTAGACCAGGCCTAAATTCTTCTACGTGCAACAGCCTTAAGATGTATTCAGAAAACACAACGTTCGACTTTGTGTTCGACTTTTGAAAGATGGATATCATTGGTAGATCTACAAGCATATACCAATCAGATAATTTGTACATAAGGTCATTCTACAATACAGGCAAGAGCACAAGCTTTTGGAGGATTCACACTGCGTCCGATGTCCGACGTACGACGTCTGACATCCAATAAGAGAACAGCTTTCCAGTGGAGAATTGAATTCTCCATTAGACAGCTATTCTCCTATTGGATGTCGGACGTCGTACGTCGGACATCGGACGCAGTGTGAATCCTCCATTTTGCATAATACATAATACATAACGTATAAGAGAATAAACCAATTAGTTTTCTTCATTTTCCTCCTCAGGAATGAAGAACTCTGATTTGTTGATTCTCTCAAGGCCCATCAACAATGGCTGCAAGAATAAGGTTCTAAGCGTAAGCAGTAAGAAATAGACCAACCACAATCGATTATTATAAGAATAATCGATTATGGTTGGTCCATTTCTAACTGCTTATGCTTACAACCTTAGGCCCCTTGCACAATGCCAGGCAACAGGCAATAAGAATAAAAATAGACCAATCACAATCGACTATTACAAGAATAATTTATTGTGATTGGTCTATTTTTATTCTTATTGCCTGTTGCCTGGCATTGTGCAAAGGGCTTTATTCTTGCAGCCATTGTAGATGGACCTTTAGAGCTTATACAACTATTGTGTTTTTTGAATGCAGCTATAGACATATAAAGGCAGTATTCATAGATAGATCCTATATTACTATTATTTTAAATTCATCTTCAGATACTGTACGGATTATTTTATTGGCTGCAAGGCATCTGAAGATAAATTTGAGACGATCTTAAATACAAAGTCCGGCAATGAATACTGTCCCTAATATTGTATTATGATGTATTTTTGTTCCTTAGATAAATATATATCTTTCTCTTTTTCAAAATCTCCTTCCCTGTATTAAAAACCGAAAAATATTGGGTATAAAATCAAATAATTGATTGCTAACTAAATCGAAGATTGGTACAAGAGATCATCTCTTGTCATATAAAGTTGCGAAAGAGATACGTCAAACTCGGTTCGAACAATTTAAACAAAATGACTTTGGGAAGAATAGCTGGTTTGAATATATTTAACAAAGTTCGGCAATTCGGTAGGTCCTGTGTGAACTTCGCGATAGTTTGACGTTCGTGTATCTGCTTGTTTTTGTAAAATGAACAGATCTTTCGTATAACCTCATACTGCATTTACATAATCATTCAATGAATGGAAAATTTATAATAAGTAATTCAGTAAATACAATTGTTATCAATATATTTTAATTACGTTTTGCGTAATAATATTACGGAAAAATTAATGACTTGCAGAGTCATTGGCTAAGCCAGCTGGTTTACTCGTAAGAAGATGCAATTTGACACAATTTCCCAAACCTACATCCAGTCTTGCAAATCTGAATCACAGTGCAATTGTTAATACCAACAATTACACAAGATATCGTATCTTACCAAAGGTTAAAAATTTTTTATAAAAGATTCTCTATACAAGAATTTGTACAACACATTCAATTTCATTACATCCTTCCTAGCTACCTGCACGATTGACAGTTAATGCAACTCAGACTCGTGCATCAAGCACACATGGTGATCATGTACGTTTATGGATAGTGGAGAGACTGGTTTCTGTATCATTACTGACACTATTACCTGCAGCACTGGTGTTTGAAAGTAAATTTGTTGATGGAGTATTAGCAATTGCTGTTGTCATGCATTCACACTGGTAAATGATAATTTTTAAGAACCAAAATTTAATCTATTCTATCAGATTTACTTTTTTACTTAATCTTAAAAATAATATATATTAGATTTAACTTTTTATAAATTATGTAGCGTAGGAAATATAAGTACTAAGATGCAAGCAATGAATAAATTTGTACAGGGGGCTAGAAGCCATCATAGTTGATTATGTACGGCCCATTGTGTTTGGTACAATAATGCCAAAAGTTGCAACTTTAATGCTAAATCTACTTTCCATTGCCACTCTCACTGGTTTGCTTCTGCTTATCTATAATGGTCCTGGTCTTACAAAAGTGATCAAGCAAATGTGGGCAGTGAGTAGCAGCAAAACCAAAACTAAAACCGATTAAATACATCAATGATATCACAGTACAGAAGTAATTATGTATTAATTATGTATTAAAACCTTTTTAATATTTAGCCTGCAAATTACTCAGGAATAAATTATTTCTCAATCAACAATACTGTTTTCTATCTTTTATATGTCACCTATGCAATGTTTTACATATAACTCTGATTAACCAAATATGTGACAAGTATTACAGGGATTTGAGATTCAAGGCACATGATACATATATATATATGTGTAATGAGCTAAGAAAAAGTATATTTTATCTCATTAATATATAATTTTATATTACAAATTAATCATAACAAATATCAATTATATTATTGTTGTGTGTATGTAAAGCAAGTATACAACAAATAAAACTTCCAAGTATTAATAGGTAGATCGTTATCAGTTTTATTTGCCAATACCACCAGCAACTTGGTTGATGAAAGTTGCCAATTTCACATCTCTTTGTGATAATCCATTCACGTCGTGAGAAGACAGAGTAATATTCACTTTGTTGTAAACATTGAACCATTCAGGATGATGATCCATTTTTTCAGCCTGTAAGGCTACTCTTGTCATAAATCCAAAAGCCTAGAAATTAGAATATATGCTGAAGTACATTCAACAAGCATTAAATAATACAGTATAAGATATAAATATTAAGAAGCTTTCATTGTGCCGAAATTTTATTACACACCTCATTGAAATTTTTAAACATAAATTCCTTGTAAATTGCATCTCTGTCCGACTGAACGGTCCATCCCGTCGACAGCAGCGGATTTAAACTCTGCTCTCTTTCTTCAGAGGTAAGTTTACTCTAGTAGAAAATAAGTATAATCAATATATAGTTATCAGACGCATAATACATATATAATTATAATTAAACATAAATTTTTAATGTTTTTTTAATAATCGCGTAAGTATATTAATTTATCCTTCACTTTTGACATATGGCTGAGATTTGTGTAACAAGTGGCTGTGATTGTTACCATATCACTTTCACCACAAAGAACTTGCACAACAGGTGGATTTGTAGCGGAAAATATCGATTATTCGTTCGAAATTTAATTTCAGTCTAATTGCTCCACAACTGGCCATAACTTTACAAACGACTTACCATTTTTGTTCTTTTCGAGGCGGCGGCAGATGAATTTCTTTGGTCCAGAATGCACGATATAGACTTTCGAACAAGTCCCCCTCCACTTGCTCGCCTGGTCAATAAGGCTATCATAATGAAAGATTGTTCTCTATATAGCTCCAAGATACTGGATTCCAGAATCACGATATTGCAATTACGTAACGAACGATCAAGACCTTGTATATTTTTTACAGCGAGGTAGGGAAACCGTCACCGAGATGAATTTCCAATATCCGAAGTGGCTTCCTAACCTATCGCCCGTTTCATCGGATTCTTCCAGTCCAATCTTAACGATTTTGTAATATAAAGGACAAGTACGGATAACTTTGAGGAAAAAAAATTCTTGCTCGGTTCATTGTATCTTCTAATTTTACAAAACATGTTTTCCTTATTTATTTAGCGATATACGTTCATATTATCAAGTATTTCTTATATATATTTATCTTTTAAAAATTAAATGAAAATTGAAAATGAACAAACATATAGAAAATTGCTACGAGTCCATCAAAGTTGAAAAATTTCATTTGTAGTCAAATAAAACATATTACATGCACTTCTCAATATTACAATTTTACGGAATAATATGCTCATGATCATACAAAGCATATAATTCTCATAATCAAAATATCAACAAAATATGTAACAGTCACTGGTTACATTGGTGCTACTGGTTAGATTTATTGATTGAATTCCTCTTTTTTTTAACAACAGGCACCGGTGCTGGTAACGGAATTTTCAATGTAATTATTTTCTTATCATCTTTATTAGGAACTGCACCAATGATCTTCGATAGATCCAACAGCTTTTTTAAGCTTATCCGAGTCTCCAGCATAAGTCGAAATGATTCTAAATCTAACGTATAATTCAATATTGTCAGCGCGAGTATTAGACTGTGTATGATAGCTTTGTCCTTTATAGTATTTGGCCTCAATCTGAAAAAAAAGAATCAACTTAATCATTATATACTTGCAACATTTAATCTAGATATTTAACTTACCGTCCACTTGCGCTTAAGACACTATATGTGTCAATAATGTGTGTGTTCACCTCTTTGGAAGCTTGACACACGACAACGTCACGTTTCTTTGCATCTTTCATTGGCATGGCGAACCATATACTAGTTGCTTCAATGTAGAGTAACATGGCAACTTTATTTACATTGTCTGGATCTGATTGTATAGTCCTTAAGATACGTGTGAAAAATTTAGGTTTCCTATATAATCGAAAACACACAATGTTATACATTAAAGCTGCATATCTAAGCGGTAAGATATAAATACTGACATTATGAATTATCTTGATAATATATCATGAAGAAATTTACCCGTCTATATTTCCTTTAAGGATTTCCATTGCTTGGTCATACAATGTCTCCAATTTGCTTTTTGGTATAATATCATATATATTATATACATCTTTGACATTAGTTGCTTCTCTATTGCATGATGGTAGATTTGTATTTGTGATATATTCATTGGGTAATTCAGTAGATAAATCTACCCTGTTAACTTCAATATCTATTAAAGAATAATTTGGTTATTTTTATGTACAATAAATATGTGCAATGCATGTGTTAATGCAATAACATTCAGATGTTAATAATTAAGTATTATCAAAACTTCAGAGATTTATGATTATAAAAGAGAAAGGGACTACTTACTTGATACTGTTTTCTCAAGTTGATCCTTGACAGAATGAACATTTACTTTTAACTTTTCATACTGTTCAGTTCTACGTTTGACTTTCTTTGATCCAAACTGCTTATTTAACATTGCAATCTTATCATCTACATCATTCTTATTTTCTTCTATAACTGGTTTTTGAAGTACCGGACTTACATCCCATAGTTCAGCTTCAACCAACCGTACCTTACCTGTGACTTTATTATGAAACACTAGCATCTTTCGTGTCATTTGTGTCTTAGGGTCTGGCTTATAACCTTTGTATACAGTCTGCCCATCTGACAGTGCCAATACAGTCTGGTCTTCTCTTTGATCGTGAAATAAACCACAAGATATCTTTTTAACTTCTTCATCTTTAAGCTCACCGTTTTGAAAGTTTACTGTAGAATAGAGATTCTTTTTTATATATGTGAAAAATGAAACTTAAGCGGTAAATGCATCTATTTCAATATTATTCAAGAAAAAATTGATATAATGATATTTGAGTGAATATATACAAAAAAATACAATATATGTAACAATAATAAACAAAAATCGTTTATATTACCAATTATTGGTTGAATTTTAGTTGTATCCACTTTAACATCCTCGATAATCGCTTTAAATTGCTTCATTTTTCAGTTTTTCATTCATATACTACATCAGCGTAACTTTATAATTGCTTTCCGCGTGTCACACATGGGCTCCGTTTCGTTTCACGCATGATGCGCCAGGGGATAAAAATACTGCGTTTTGATTGGTGCATTTCCATCCATCTTCAGAAATGTACCAATCAGATCGCAGTATCATCATCCAGCAAGCGATCCACCACGATGACAAGCACCGTGTGCCGCTGGCTATAGAAACCGAGCGACGGGTTTCTGGAGCGCCACCATGATACGTACCGGAACTGGTGGAACTAAAATGGGTCACGTGATACAGAGTGGGGATACGCGCTACATTGAAATCCAGTACACAGATATATAAATATAAGGCCTGTTTTTATTCGCTGACTGCTGCACTGATGCAATAAATTAGAGTAAAACAAATATATATTTCTCACTCTAACTTATTGCATCAGTGCAGCAGTGTAGCGAAAAAGAACAGGCCTTATATATATCAGGTGTAGTAAAAAGAAATCCATTATTTTTCCAATAGATGGCTTTAGTTATCTGTATCTCGCGTTGTATAAGTCCGATTGGGTTCCACTAGATGGCGTTAGAAAGATGAGATTTGTGGGGACTTTGAGCTCCCCAAAGCGCACGCATCCGTTTTCCGTGCGGCGCTATAGAGCGCGCGCAAGTGCCACTCGTGCCGGGAAAAAGAGCAACGATTTAGTAACCGTTGGAAGCGCATACAGAGCTCACGGATATACGATCGCTAGTTCATAGCTTAATCATTCTTCCATTGTCGTGTGTGACATCGCGATTTTTACACGCGGTCGCGGGTGTGCGAGAGCAGGCAGGCAGAAGCATCGGCTCCGGTCGGCCCACACATACACATACAAGTCCCGCTGTGACTCGTATGTCGTGCGAGCAGAGAAATTGTCTTTTGTATCTTCGAGGCACATAAGCTGCACTTGTGATTCACCTGTGCTCTGCAACTGGCAGGCACGTGCGCAATAAAGAGACCAAAGAAGAAGAACACGCCTAGGTTAATTTAGGAACATACCCTCCACTTGCAATCGGCGAGAGAGCAAGAGGACAACAAAAACCCTAAAGATTTCGTACTAAAAAAACTTTTCTGACAGTTTTGTAATTAGTTGACTCAGTTTTGTTTGAGCGCGCGTCAAAGATGGACACTAGCAAAGAGAAAATACGCTATATTTTACAGTTTTTTTTCGATAAAGGCGAAAACGCAAGCAAGGCGGCTGAAAATGTGAATAGTGTTTATGGTCCTGATACTGTAACAGCCAATCACGCGCAATTTTGGTTTCGTCGATTCCGTTCCAGTAATTTCGATGTCAAAGATGCACCACGCACTGGAAGGCCAATTGTCGAAAATATCGATAAAATCATGGACATTGTCGAGTCCGACCGTCATGTAAGCACTGTTTCGATTGCCCAAGAGCTAAAGATTGCACAAAAAACCGTTTGGAACCATTTGAATAAGGCTGGATACAAAAAGAAGCTCGATGTATGGGTGCCACACGAGTTAACGAAAAAAGACCTCATGGACCGAATTTCCATCTGCGAATCGCTGCTGAATCGCAACAAAATCGACCCATTTCTGAAGCGGTTGGTCACTGGTGATGAAAAGTGGATCACTTACGACAACGTAAGTGATCCACTCAAGCGAAAACGGTCGAATCGCGGTAAGCCGGCGGAAACGGTGGCCAAGCCAGGATTGACAGCCAGGAAGGTTTTGCTGTGCGTTTGGTGGGATTGGCAGGGAATTATCTACTATGAGCTGCTCCCCTACGGCAAAACTCTTAACTCGGAACTGTATTGTCAACAATTGGACCGTCTGAAGGAAGCAATCGCCCAGAAGCGGCCAGCTTTGGCCAATAGGAGAGGAATTGTGTTCCATCAGGACAACGCCAGGTCACACACATCGATAGTGACTCGCCAGAAGCTCCGGGAGCTTGGTTGGGAGGCTCTTATGCATCCACCTTATAGTCCGGACCTGGCACCAAGTGAATACCATCTGTTCCTGTCCATGGCGAACAATTTTGCTGGTGAAAAATTCGCTTCAAGAGAGGCTTGTGAAAATCGACTGTCTCAATTTTTTGCCAATAGGGACGAGGGCTTCTATGAGAGAGGCATAATGAAATTACCTTCAAAATGGCAACAAGTTATCGAACAAAACGGCGCATATTTGACCTAAATCGGATCATTCTAACTATGGTAATTAAAGTCTTCAATTTCATGCAAAAGTAATGGATTTCTTTTTACTACACCTGATATATTAAACGTGTAATAACTTATATAGCACAAATCTTGAAAGGATGTTTTAAGAACGTTCTAAGGACATTCATATATCCTAAGAACGTTCTAAGAACATTATCTGAAGATTTGGTGCTATCTGAGAAGTAATTTTGTATTTTTTTGGTAAAATTAAACAATACTTGTATGTTGTTATAATTTCATGAAGCAATGTATGCGAGAGATGGTAGATGATATTGGGTTGTTCAAAAAGTCATTGCAGTTTTTTCAGTGATTTTCAAAACTTAATTTTATACAAAGAATTAACATGAATCAATGATGTTAATGAACGCAGGCACTTTGTGAGGAACCCAATAGTTCAATATATCGCATACATTATTTCATAAAATTATAATGACATAAACATACAATTATTCCATTGTACCTGAAAACAAAGAAATTAATTATTATTTAACTTAATATATATTTTTTTTGTGATGTGTGTATGTGTGTATAATAGGGTTCGCAAATTTTATTGAAATAAGCAGTATACAATTTTCGTTTTATAAACATATTATACATATATATTTTTTTAGTTACAATGGTATATATATATATGTAGTTTAATGAAATTATTTACAGTTCAATGAAAAATAATTACAATGAATTTTATGCATCAAATTTTTTCCGTCCCACTTGCAGACTGCGGACTGTCAGGTACTCTTCTGCCATATACCTGGTGTGGTTAAAAAAATTTGATGCACTAACAACCTGCATCATATATGTGCATCACTGCACATAAGCATTCATACTCTCACTCTTAACATCGATCTACAATAAGATACACCTAAAAGCGTATAAAAGAGAGACGTCTTCCTTTTAATATGTCTTTTAATATAAGTCAAATGTGTTTAAAACATTTGTGCTATCTGAGACCTTAGGAAAGATCAACGAACAACGTTGTGGAATAATTTAAACCGATTTACATATTTACATATAAATATTTACTTACAGAAATAGAAATATTTTATCTCCACACGCTCTCTCTCCTTACTCGGCTCTTCTTCCTGTAAATAACCTGAAAATAATCTGTAAATGACCTGTAAATAACCTGCAAATAACCTGAAAATAAACACCTCTCACTAAATTCATGATCACTTGCTATCACTTGCTATCGCACAAAATGCACAAAATTCTTACTGCTCCAGAAAACTGGTAAACAGTAAAGGTGCCAATACATGGGAGCGTCGAGCGTCAAAGCGTCCAACCAATCAAAGTTCCTTGTTTTTATCCGTGAAATAAGAAATGAAAAACTGATTGGTTGGACGCTTTGACGCTCGACGCTCGACGCTCCCATGTATTGGCACCTTAAATGTCCGATATGGCATCCGACGAGCGGTAGTGGGGAACTGACTGTGCTGCCCTCGGCCTACGTACCGAAAGAATAAGCGAACTAATAACTTCCGTCACCACTAAAATACGAGGAGTTTGTAACCCATGTGATGCGCATGGAGAGCATAGAAGCAGCATTGCCAGTCATGGCACATTCGTACTACATATGGCACAATTAAAGGTGGCACACAGGCACAATTTAGTGATTTGGTGGTACATTATGCATTTCTTATGGCACAAAAGAAGAAAAAGTGATATAATTCCATTTTTAAGTGAAAGTTTTAAATCTTTGGATTCTATGATAAACGTATCGCATTCTACAAGCAAGAATATAGATTTAGTATAACCAATAAAGTGGCACTTACATTATCTGGAGTGTGTTCGGAACTTGCACATTACGGATAAAGTAACTAGCATCGGATTAACCAATAAGAATAAAGAGAGCAAATAACTTTTTATCATGATTGGTTAATTCAATTATTCTACATTCAGGGCCGTATTCATAGTCGGATCTTATATTTAAGACCGTCTTGAGTTCACATTCAGATATTCTGTAGCCAATGAAATGATCTATACAGCATCTGAAGATGAACTTAAGACGATCTTAAATATAAGACCGGATTATGAATACAGCTCTCAAAGTAAAGTTTCCGAACCTCTAAGGCCCAGTTCCACAACTTGCTTTAAACGGAGTTTAAACTCCGTTTAAAGCAAGTTGTGGAACTGGGCCTAAAGATAGACACAAAAAGTGTTAGTTTTTAAGATGCAAATTTAAGATGCAAATATAAGATTAGACAATAAAAACTATTTATAGATTCCTCAGTACTTATAAGATCTTCAAGATATATTAATTTAACTCGAATGGCACAAAACGCACTAATGTGGCACACTTTTTGGCACAATCGAACACGGTTTTGCTGGCAACACTGCATAGAAGTCGTTCCGTTTCACTCCATGTATATTTCATGCGCGCATGAAGATAGTCTCCCACCACCATGTCGTGCTATAGTGTGCAGCGCATGAGAACGCATGAACTGCCTCAGCTCCCGAGGAGACGTAATCCATGCACGATAGCCATTTAGGCGAGAAAGATTATCATCAGAAATTTGTAAGAGTTTATGCACACTTGATTTATTTTATAATTCTGTAAAGATGAGCGGAAAAAAATTTGAAGTTTATGTCAATGATGAATTATGGACATTTAACGTCTCCAACGCTGAATTCGAAGCAGCAACAACTGGCAGTAAATTAATATCTTTGAAATTCTAGAGAAATTTTTATTATAATCTTAAACTTTATGGTTTTTTAACTTTGCTGAATTCACTCTATGGTCCCTCAGACCAACAAAACACAAAACTGATTTTTTTTCCAAAACCGATCTATTTTCCGAAATTGTATACATGGTTAAAGAAAGTGAAAGAAAAAGCATAGCAGTAATTGATGAAGAACAAGCTGATAAATCAAGCCTATATCTGCCTATATCAGCCTATATCTGAAGCAAACGAAGCTAAGAAGGATTCTTTCATTTGGCCTGATAAGGCAATTCTTTTGCTTTTGGAGATTTATCGAAACAAAGAGTCTGATTTTGTATCAGGGCTGATATGTCATAATAAAATATGGGTGGATATTGCCAGTGAAATGAATAAAGCAACGTATAATGTCACTGCTATACAATGTCAAAATAAAATGTCAGGATTGAAAAGAACATACAAAAATATATCTGACAGCAACAATCAGGTAATCATGCAAGTTTTTGGGCCTTTTACTCTGGTATGGATTCAATATTTGGGAAAAAAGCCTGGATAGAACCTGCATCAATAGCTAGCAGTGATAGTCCATTTAGTCCAGGGTACTCTTCATCCTCATCAGATAAGTCATTAGAAGCAAATGAGCCGAAACCAAAAAAGAGGCGGGTGGAATCAATTTTAGAATCGTTCATTGCAGAAATGAAAGAAGATAAACAGAAGGAGAAGGAGGAAAAACAACGGAGGAGAGATGAAAGAAGAGAAAAAAAGGAAAATAAGTGGAAGCAGAACAGTGAAACACGAAAAAGTAGAATGGAGTTCCACCACTCCCTGCTTAAACTACTTGCTAAACTAGCAGAACAAAAATAGAGGCCTATTCTATAACTTATAACGATGTTATATATAATTGCACAGCTACTGCAAAAAATCTGTGCAGTGATACATAACATCATTAAAAATTACAGGATAAACCTCTTTAGGAATATTTCAAACAGTATTGTCATTCTATGCATAGAGTGCATAACTAGTCAAGATTTGATATTTTATTTTGTTTTTGTAGGTAGGTACAGTTAGCGTCCATATGAATTATGCATATACCAACACATTTACATATTTTGCATGTACATATAAAATGTGTTTTGATATATGCTTAAATTCATATGGAAAAGCCTTAATGATGATGTCTGTATATCTAATATAAGTTTAACGCTGTTTGATATTTCGTATATATTGACTCTTTTATTTAAATGATTGCATATTTAATTTTCGTTTAAATTGGAATTATGAGACCCCTTTTAAGTTTATCGTTACATTAAAAAATTAAGAATAATGATCGCATACTTATTTTTAATTCGAACTTGACTGATTAGATTAAACTTGTTCTTATTTTGTGCAGTTAGATGCTTTAGAAAATATAAAAAAAATAAAGTTAATAACATATTTAGCATATTTTTTATATTATTTCCTACGTGATATTTAATTTTCATTTAAATTGGAATTATGAGACTCCTTTTAAGTTTATTATTGCATTAGAAAATTAAGAATAATGACTGCATACTTAATTTTAGTTTGAACTCGACTGATGAGATGCTTTTTAATTATTGTATTAGGAAAATTAAGAGTAAGAACTGTTATGTTTGTATCCATTGTTACTTTTTTTACTATTTATATGTTGTAAAATATCCCATATATGTGCAATAAATAACCAACACTTCAGATATATTTATTTCCTTTTTTCAGTAACACATGAGTAAAAGAATTTGTTTTTAACTCATTGGTCAATTGTTATAATTAAAATGCATGAAATACACTAGAATATGTGGAAGCTATTTCATTTTTATCTTATATGGTAAACATCAACAAATTTTTAATATAAATTAAATTAAAATCATTTTAATAAAGACCCCAAACCACTTGTCCAAAGTCCAAGAAACATCTAATTGTTTTCATTTATAAATCTCATTGTCAATTCATTCATGATTCTTATTCTTTTTTGGTTACCTAAATCTGCCCCTGCTACTATAACACCAAGGGCAATATTCTCAACATTGTTAGGACAGACAATAAATATCAATATTGTCACTTTGTAATATGCAAATATTGTGCATTACACAGCATGCAATAATAAATTGTGGTATCTTGGTCATATTAGTAAAAGGCAGACAGTCAAGCAAAACTCGAAACCTCATTTTCAAAAGCTCTTTTAATGGCCATACGAGTAGATGATAAGCAATAATTGAAGTTTTTTTGTCTTGCAATGAGGTGTCCGTTATCTCTAAATGGCACTATGACATGTGGATGAATTGAATATGCTGCATCTCCTAAAAGATGAGAATCGAAAGGAAAATAATTATGTGGCTGTTGGATAAAGTCAGCAGAGGAGAGTTTCTAAAAATTCGTGCATCATGCACAGATCCTGCATGCCCAGCATAGCAATGAGTAAATAAACTTCGAGCATTACACACAGCTTGTAAATGAATAGCGGGATAATTTTTTTTACAGACATAAGAAGCTGCATCTTTTTGATTCAAATGATCACGGTTACTGACGGCTGAATCGAACAACGCGATTGGTCGAAATCTATTAAGGCTCGTCTACAATAGCTGTAAGAGTAAGGCTGTAAGGCTGTAACGTAAGCTGTCAGCGAATGAAAATATTTCATTTCGTGTCTTGCAACCTTACAGCCTTACTCTTACAGCTAATGTAGACGAGCCTTTATACTTACAAAAAGTATGTGTGATTGTATTTATACCCGTATTCATAGTCAGGCCTTATATTTGAGGCCTCCTTATATCTATCTTTAGATGCTGCACGGATTCTTTTATTGGCTACAGACCATCTGAAAGTAAACTTAAAGAAGTCTTATGGGCCTTCTGCAATAAGCTATTAATCATAAGTTGTAATCAAATTGACCAACCACAGTCGATTATTTTTGAAATAATCAATTGTGATTGGTCAATTTGCTTATAGCTTATGACTAATTGCTTATTGTAGAAGGCCTCTTAAATATAAGGTCTGACTATGAATATGAGTGTTTGTCGGTTCTTTTTAGATAACTAATGCAATAAGTAAAGCCTTAAACACAATGTCAGGCAACAGGCAGTAAGAATAAAAATAGACCAATCACAATAGATTATTCTTGTAATAGTCGATTGTGATTGGTCTATTTTTATTCTTCTTGCCTGTTGCCTGGCATTGTGTTTAGGGCTTTAGAATGAAAAAAATATAGTTGTCTCACTCTATCTGTTACACCAGTTCAGCAGTGCAGTTAAAAAGAACAGATCAACTGTGTTCCACAAACTACGTAATTATCTTAGAAAATAGTTCAGATAATGTATCCAATAAAATGTGTAATACAGTATATCCTTGTTCTGTAAAAACGGCCTGGTACCACGTTCAATATCCAATAAAAGAATTTCATTTTCTGGAAACAAAAATTTTATCAGCTAAAAATCCTAAACAGTGGAATCTTCTATTAAATATCGGGCCATATGTACGTATACTGTGGAGGAAATACTTCCCCTGATGCAGCACGATATGATGCACCCCAGTGTACATTCATGGTAAAAAGTTTATTTCACTTTTTCTGACATGTTTTGGAACGCATTCGTTCCAATTTTGATAGAAACGATAACCCCTGATAACTCCTGTTCACGCGTCTGCGCAATCACCAATATAATAACGACGAAATGTATTGTACATACATACAAGGTGACAAATAAATAATAATGCAAAGTAAATTAAGTAATTTCTCTTCAATTTTACATAAGAGGAAATACGAGAACAGAAATTTAATTATAATATTTAAATAAGAAAATAATTTGTCTCTCGGTAAATAATATACCATGTATATATAGTTTTTTTGATATTACATATACAACAAATTATATTTACTATTTCATATAATAATTATAAATAAGCATTTACGATGATTAATACTTTTTAACTGTATATTTATTTTACATTGGTGATGTTGGGAGTCACCTTATTAACAATGACAAGTAATGAGAAATATCATTTTAATGTAGTATTGATGTATACTATATTTATATTTAATATGTACAAGAGACAAATTTCTGCAAATCTTTTTTTCTTCTCTTTTTTTGACTTTACATCTGGTCAGAATTGATAAATTATTTTATCAGGACACAGATTGACTGTATATCCAAAATTAAAAGTACAGGAAGATATAAAAATTTAACATATTTAATTTATTATGTACAGTATGCAATTATATACAGCATATATGAACCAATTAATTACCTTATCATTAAAAATATTTTATATATCCCAATATTACAATTCTTCCCTTCACAAAATCATAAGTATATACTTATTATCATACATTCTTAAAAGAACTTAAATGTCAAGAAAAATATTAAATGAAAGTATTATTATAATTTGTAGAAAATATTAAACTTTACACGATAGAGAAATTTCAGCACTCTTAGTAATAAAATAGACTATTTGTAATAAAAACTTAAAAATTATGCTTATGGATTCTGTGGATAATAAAATATATATACTTTTGTATGTATCTATGTAAATGCAAAAAATTATATAAAGAATCGTGTGAGATAAAATTCTTTTGAATAATTTTTAATACAATTTAAGAAATGAAAGGAAAGACACATTTATTGGTCTATATACAGTTTGAAAATTAAATAATTCCCTTAAATCTCTTAAATTAATCGTTTAAGCAACTGTACGATTTTCATATTATTCAATTAATAAATCATATTCATCAATTTCCTGAAATGTATTATTAATTGTTCTCGCCCATTCCTCCAATCGTTTCCTATTCTGTTTTTCCATCTTATTAGGTTTCTTTTTCTTTACATATGTTTTGACATTTTCTTCATCTTCTTGGTCGCTATCGTTCGAAAAATTGAACGTTATATCACGTTTTCTTTTATACGAATGCTGAGGTGGCTGTAACAATATAAAGACATATAAGATAGTAAAACATAATAAATCATCACAATAGAAAAATAGAATATCAAGAAATAATAAGTACTTTCGAAAAGTGCGAAGGTTCTAAATCCATAAATAAAGGATCATCACCGCAATTCGATAGCCTCCCAGATTCGGATAAGACATCGAAGGTATCGGAAAAGTGGAGGACATCTATTAGACGATTCTTTTCCACTTCAGGTGATTTCCTCACTTCAACATTTTTTTGGTTACTGGTTGCCTGTTGTACATGGTTATTCGCGTTCTTATCCGACTTTTTAACAACTAACTTATTCTTTAGTTCTCCTAATGAGAATCTAGCGGGTATCGCTGTTGTAACAAGCTTATTCGAGCAAGTTGTCTGAACTTTAGTCGCTTGATTAGTTGCAAGTTCGTTCTTCTTGGGAGATATATCGGGAGTAGTACTCTCTTCGCAGAAGCCGAACGCATTCATCAATTCTTCTGTTGGCTTATTCGATGCTTTTATGCTACTATTGACACGAGATGAACATGCATCATCAAATATTCCGTGTTTCGTGATTATCTTAGTGTTTTCCGGCATATTCATTAAGTTTAGGTAGTTGTTTAAATTAGATTGACGCAATATTTTCTGCTCGTCATGGTTCCTTGAATATTTTATCCCCGATGGCCCAGGTTGCGGATCTATATTTTCGTTTTGCACAATATTCTTAATCTCGCATGTTTTGGACGGAGAAGAGTTAGAAAGGTGTCTCTTTCTTAGTTTCTTTTTTGTTGGCTTCTTGGGAGTTTGATAATTTGCGGCTACATTCTCTTTATCGTCCATATCGTCGAATGATGGGGGATTTGGTGACGGAGATGCAATTGTATTCAACTGAACATTCGTTACCGAATTCTCGGTCTCTGCTGCTGGCTTCTCGCTTATGACTTCCACATTACTACTTTGCATGTTTGAACTGTTGCTCAGATGCTCAATATTTGTTATTTCTGTGCCAAATTTTCGGTGTGGATTGTAATTCTTTTTACAACTCATCTTATTATCTGATATATTTTGTATCGAAGAATTTGCATTCTTTGATATCACGTCACTTATGTTTGTTTTGTCAACATTGTGGAAATCATCCTTTACTTGCATTACACGTTTCTTATATACAGTATCCAGTTTAATCACATTTGGTGTACTTTGAATGAAATACTTAGAGTGAGAAAATGTATAAGGCAATTGCGGAGGTCGCCATGGACTACCAGGATCAAATGTATTATACTCTTTTGATATAGGAGACAATGATTGTATTAATAATGAATTATTCTGTGTATTTTTAAATTGTGTTATGAGTCTATTACTAAATATATTCGGTGATAACCGAAAGGGCAGCATGTTTTCATCACTGTTAGGTGCTGTTTTAGAGATTATGATATTATTAGCATTCTCAATAGACATAATCATTGGCTTCTTTGTATTCTGTACTTTGATCTGCTCTGCAGATGGTTTATCAGATGGCTTCTCAGATAAAGATATTTCTTCTATTATTTGAATATCTGTATTTAATTTTGGTGTTTCAATTACCTTTGCAACTTCCTTTGTTGATTCAGGAAGCGGTGATGGTATTGTTGCTGCAGGTTCCAATGGAGATGTACCTTGAGCGATCTCCATAACAGGATTCATATCAGGATCAAATTTATCTGCCTTATTGTCAATTGTTTTTGTTTGCAATGCAACTTTTTTCTTTCTTTTAATCATTCTGCTCTTAGTTTTAATATTTTTTTTCTTTTTCTTCTTGGTTCTTTTTTCTTCTGTATCATCAGCATCATACTTAAAATCATATATATTGTTCTTATCTTCTAAAGATACTCCCGATGTTTTTATGATTTTGTACACAGGTACTTTCTTACAGGTATCATCTGAATCTATTCTGTCTAATATCACTATACTGTTTTGATGCTGTAATGGGAGATGATGCTTTAATAATTTTGAATCATCACAATAATTTATTTTATTTCGACGGGGTCGTAGATGTCTTGGTAATGATTGATGCTTAAAAGATTCTTCCAATGTCATCTGATGCTTCTTTGGAGAATGATTAGTTACTTTCTTTTCTTTAATTGATACCCTGTGTTTATTTTTAATTATACCACTATTACCCACATTCTTTCTTTTCTTGTGTGTTTCCTTCTTCTCTTGTTCTTTTTTTGTAGATTTCTTAATCTTCTTTTTTGTTTTTGATTCATCGTGAGAATCATCCTTATTCGATTTTGTTGATATATGTCTCTTTGGAGAAATATTTTCTACCTTATGTAATTTTTTGTTTCTTGTAGTAACTGTAGTTCTTAGTGAGCTTTTGTTAACAATAATAACCTTCTTGGATCTGAGTCTTTTACTAGCTTTTGCAGACAGATCATGAGCACTTAGATGAGAAGAACACTGATTACTGGATACTGTAGACGTTGCCATTATGATTATCAAATCTGAATCTGAAAAAATATATGTTACAAATAATCTTATTTTGTACACACAGCAACATATATTGAAAACATGTACTATGAATACAGAATATATTGAAAAAATGTACTAATATCATAATTGTTGATCAATATAGTGAATTTAAACATGATATAAACAGAACATACTTCAATATTTTATCACGTTAATACAATATCTAACATAACAGTTCAAACTTCATGCAATAGATAACAGTGAGACAAGTATATTTTATTTCGTTATTACGAGAGAAATTGTATTGTTTATGAAAAGTTGTGGTTGTGAGGTGTCATTTGACGTGCTACTTACAGACAAAAAATGCGGGAGATTCACCTTCAGTATGTAGTCACGTTCAGTATGTTAAAACCCTAAATTTAACAAATATGTAACCGTAGTAACTCAATAAAAGGTTCTACAAGTTATCACACCTCATACACATTACAAATAATAGCAATACAGAATAAATATCTGCGACGCAGATTCTTTGATGGTAAAAACGCAAATCCACCAACCGCATCATTACGTCATTTTATGCCAAAACATGGCGATGTCTTGCCTGCCAATCTAGCACATTTAAATTCCCTTTTATTTTTAACATGTATGCCACCTAAAGGGGAGGAATTTAGATCATAGGGACCCTATCCAGTTGCGATATTGGCTGCGTTCCGAAATTCACTGCCAGTACTGAAGATACATAGTTTGTGTCACATATACTATAGAATTTCAGTACTGGCAGTGAATATCAGAACGCAACCCTAATCACTAGAGGTTTGTTCATCTTCGAAAGATTAGAATTAAGGTTCGTTTGCGCGTTGCTCGCACTTTTGACACTTTTATACTACACGCCTGTTGCGCACTGGCTCTCTTTAGAAAAAAAGATCTTTCATTAGCCGCGTTCAGTAGACCAAAGTGATCAGTGAGCGCTTAGTGATTCTCGCTCCTGATTGGTAAATACTTCTGGGTCTATGAAGAATCTAAAAGAATGCTCCAATCACAAACAATAATCACTAAGCGCTCACAGATCATTTTGTTCTACTGAACGCGGCTATTGTTCATCACGTCCGGTGTATACTGTAGTGCAATCATATCATGCCGCGTCAAGGGAAGGACTTGTCCGCTAGAGAAGGAAGCATGGGGAAAGTGCGCAGTAGGTGGGGACCGCTGGAGGAGAAGTACTTCCCCTGACGCGGCACGATGATGCATCACAGTGTACAACGGGCATTAGATACACAAGTGTCGAAAGTGCAAACAACGTGAACAAACATCTGTATCGTCGTTCTTTTTCACAAAAGAACAAACCTTAGGTGTTTTTGGATACATATATTGTAAGTGAATTTTATATATTTTTAAATATTTCTTTTAGTATCTCTCTTAATATTATATTTAATAATCACACTCTTATCGTTTATTACTATCGAATCGTCCATCGGCGTTAAATCGTAAAGTTAATCACGAGTAGTTGGTTACGATACGTTCGAGCCAAAGGTATCAAAATCGGAGAATGTTGTTGCTGTCTTTTCGCATATTTTGTTTCGTAAGTTATGTCGTTGCTAATCTTATCAGCGTGCGACTGCTTGTTTATTTGTTGTTTGTTGTTACAGAGTACGATTTTTACAAAATCTATATCAACTACAATCATTTTGTACATAGTCAACTGTTTAAGAGATTTGAGAAAGTTGAGACAAGTGGCAATGTGAATCAAAAAAGTTATCTAACACGTTGAGTTTAATTAATGCACAAAGATGGCTGATGAAAAATCTGTGGTGCAAGAATTTAAATTGGATTCGGATTGCGAATTGAGATTTGAAGTGGAAAGCAAGAACGAAAAAGTTACATTAGAGGTAAATGAAATGTTTAGTTCTTGCCAATGTTCAGTTTTAAACTATCCCTTTTATTTACCATTGGTTTATATAACATTATATAATTTCAGCTGAAGAATGGTCTGGCTGAAGTCTTTGGCACAGAATTAGTGAAAGGTAAAAAATATGAATTTAGTGCTGGTGCAAAAGTTGCAGTTTTTACATGGCAAGGCTGCACCGTTGAACTAGTTGGCAAGACAGATGTCAGCTATGTGGCGAAGGAAACACCTATGGGTCTGTATTTGAATTGCCATGCAGCTATGGAACGAATGAGGGAGACTGCTGAAAAAGATGATACCAGGGGTCCTATCACAATGGTTGTTGGTCCCTGTGATGTAGGAAAGTCTACACTTTGTAGAATACTGCTGAATTATGCTGTCAGAATGGGCAGGAGACCAATTTTCGTCGATCTTGATGTGGGCCAAGGACATATAGCAATCCCAGGTACAGTAGGTGCTCTTTTGGTAGAACGGCCATCAAATATAGTAGAAGGATTCAGCCAACAAGCTCCACTGGTCTTTCATTTTGGACACAAGACTCCACAGGCTAATGTAGCATTGTACAATTTACTTGTCACCCGCTTGGCAGAAGTTTGTTCAGATCGGCTACAAGCTAATAAGAAAGCCCGTGCATCAGGAATTGTAATAAACACCTGTGGATGGGTAAAAGGAGATGGATATAAACTGCTCACACATGCAGCACAGGCATTTGAGGTGGACGCGATTCTAGTATTGGACCAAGAGAGACTCTACAACGAACTGGTGAGAGACATGCCAGATTTTGTGAAGGTGGTCTTCTTGCCAAAGAGTGGTGGCGTTGTTGAAAGAAGTCAAGCCCAAAGAACAGAAGCAAGAGACCAAGGAGTGAGGGAGTACTTTTATGGCTCTCGGACTCCATTGTATCCACACAGTTTTGAAGTTAAGTGGAGTGAAGCCAGACTCTATAAAATAGGAGCACCAGTTTTACCTGCATCTTGCATGCCATTAGGTATGAAGGCAGAAGATAATCTGACAAAATTGGTAGCAGTCACCCCAGGACCTAGTTTATTACATCATTTGCTATCTGTTTCTTTTGCTGACTCTCCTGAAGATGATGTGGTGCAAACCAATGTAGCTGGATTTGTCTGTGTGTTAGTAGTCCCATACGCAATAACATGCATATTTATTATTATTAATATATTGGTCTTTTTGTACAAATATTGTACAAAATATAAAATATATTCAGAAAATAATATCCATATATAATATGTATTGATATATTTTATAATATTTATAAATACATAATAAATACATAATAAATTTTTAACGATATATATTAAGTAATATATAATTTCATTTAGTAATTATATGTTTTGCAGAACCAACGTCGATGTTGAGAGACAGACATTCACAGTGCTCAGCCCACAACCTAGACCATTACCAAACACAGTACTGCTGTTGTCGGATATACAATTCATGGATAGCCATTAATTCTATAGTATGATAAAATAAACAGTAAAATTAAATTTCCTTTATACGATATTATGGATCACTAAGCATAAGTAACATCAACTGTGTATATACACAAGTAGTTTTTTAAATATTTATAAATAAACAAAAAAAAATATGTATTGCATATTTGTTTAAATGTAAACGGATATATTCTACATTAATAAAATTTATAAGTAATTCTTGAACTGATATCTCTTGAAATTAATACTTTTCGTTTCTTAGAGTAACACCTTTAACAGAATTTTTAGGAACTTAAGATATAACTTTAAGTAATCATTATATGTAATTAGGAAAATTTGACATGATTTTTACAGAAAGGAACTATGGCGCGATAGCTAATAAAATATACAATAACATTCACTTCTATTTTTTTATTTTCATTGAATTTCTGGAAAAGTTTTCGATACATTTGCGTTTTAAATTTACTCTCTTCCTTTACATCTTCGAATATTGACTTATTAGATGTATTCACGACTTATCATATCCGTGGTTTTGGCAAAGTCTTTAGAACCTAGCGGCATCTATAGGACATTAACTTGAACTTCACTCAAGTGATCACAATGAGGTAAAACCAACATAGTGTCTCTACTTATTATATTTCTACGTTATTAGCTGTAACACTACAAGTGTATATATTGGTGTACAGTTTGTATTATGGTATAGAGTTTACTGATCTTTGTTAATATTTTATCGATGGTTACATAACACAGGTATCGCGTAGGTGTGCTATTAGATCTTTTAAAGATGGCTGCGATCACTTTATGTACTTGCAGAACTGTGTTCCGTCGAGTAAGTTTTTCAAGATCAAAAATAATCATTAATGATTAAAAACGCTAATTTCTCATTTAAATTGCATATTTTCTTTTGCGTGCAGCGCAATGCGAACAGTTACCAATGTTATGATAGCAATGTATATAGGAATGTTCGAACGTCACACTTGCTGTTGCTTTTCTATATATATTTTGACATTTGACAGTTATTATAATTTATAGTTAACGTGTAAGAATACATCATGTAATTACTTGACAAATTTAATATAATTTTACTTAATACGATATTCCAACCGTTGATTCTTTAAAAGTTTGTTTTTTTTTTTTGAAGATAAAGATAGAAAATTATATAATTTAACCTCGTTTCAATGTAGTTTATGACAGATCATATTATAAATAAAACGAAAATGATAAAAATTTATTTAAGGGGAAAAGAAATTTTTTAAACCTATTTTTGTAGTCCAATTTTATATATAAGAACAATAACATTAATTTTATGATTCATATGATGGAAGATGGTCACGTGTGAAAATTATTTTAATTAACTTAGCATCTAGATTGTCTAATATAAGATAGTTTTTAGATGAAATGCTTTTGCAGTATCTTTAGATCATATGCAAAATAATAGATAATCTTAAGTATAAAATCAGGTTATTCCTACTAATTTTGATCATAAGCACTGAATAATTTGCTTACTTAATAAAAAATTAAAAGGTCATTATATTTTTATATTGTCTCTCTATATAACTTGTGCAAATTGTGGAGTTAAGAGTTATATGTAGTTTATGTTTTTAATTCAAATGAGTATTACAATTATAAATTTTATAGGTTAGGGCCTTGCATACCGGGGCAGTCCAAAATGCTGAAGCCAGACTTAAGACTTTTTCAATTTATCGTTGGAATCCAGACAAACCTGATGAGAAACCATATATGCAAAAATATAAAATTGATCTGAATGCGTAGGCATCACTGATAGAATAAACATACTTCTTAAATCTACTTAAAATTATCATTATATACTTTATTTTTTGTATTTTATTAATTTCAATAAAATTCTGTTTCAGTTGTGGTCCAATGGTGTTGGATGCACTAATTAAAATTAAAAATGAAATGGATCCAACTTTGACATTCCGACGTTCTTGCCGTGAAGGTATTTGTGGTTCTTGTGCTATGAATATTGAAGGAACAAACACATTGGCATGCATCAGGTAATATATTGTATATAATGTTACTACTATTTGGTCATTGAAGATATAATTTGTAACTGTTTATATTTTCACACACTTTACATGTCATATGCAGTCAATGTCTAGAATATAAATTAAAATTTTATCACTGTTCACATATATATATTACCGATATGTACTAAGTGATAAGTATATATTGATATGTTGATTAATAAAATAATCATGTGTTTCAGCAAAATTGATACAAACACAAGTACATCATGCAAAGTTTATCCTTTACCACACATGTACATTGTCAAAGATTTAGTGCCGGACTTAAATAATTTCTACACTCAGTATCGCAATATACAGCCCTGGCTGCAACGTTCAGACACAAAAGAGACAGGCAAGCAACAATATTTGCAGAGTGTAGAAGATCGAAAAAAGCTGGTAAGTGCGGTCGAGAGTTTATTGCTATATTTATTAAATCTCACATTTCCCCGTTTTAATCACAATCTTTTCTTATTTAAAATGAAATACATAATTAAATTTTTACTAAAATAGGATGGTCTCTACGAATGCATTCTCTGTGCTTGCTGCAGTACCTCTTGCCCGTCCTATTGGTGGAATGGTGATAAATATTTAGGCCCTGCAGTACTTATGCAAGTAAGCACGTTGTAATGCTACATATTGCTCCAGATATGATGTCGTGCGACAGAATAATCGACCATTAATAAGAATGGAGAGACGGTACAAGTGAGAGATCTTTTAAGAACAAGCAGGATACACACAAATGGGAATTGAATATATCTAAAATTATCCTTTTTCGAAAAAGAAAACATTTGTACTTTTAAAATATCTGTAACTAACAGTACTTGTTACACTTGACAGTAAACTGAAAGATACTTCTTTTGTAAAAACATATGTAAGTTCAATCAATTGTACTCGGCTCGGTTTTGTAGAATTCTCACTTGTACTATATTTCTTTCTCCAAGTGCCTTAATCATTATTGTGTTCGTTAGGCCTACAGGTGGATCATTGATTCGCGGGATACACAGGCAAAGGAACGTCTGGAGAAACTGAAAGATCCGTTTTCAGTTTTCCGTTGTCATACGATCATGAATTGCACGCATACTTGTCCAAAGGTAAGTTCCTGCTCTACTTTTATTCGCACTCTACTTTTATTCGCACGAGATAGAAGATGCCTTAAATGAATCGTCACAATATATAATAGCAATTTCTCTTTTTTTTTTCTTTTTTCTTATTACATTTTACATTTATATCATCTCAAGGAATAGTTCAGTTGTTCTCATACTCGAGAGAGTTCATCTGAAATTATCCATGTCCGTGAACATTCAAAGTATATATAATATTATATTTGTTAGTGCATTATACATATATGTTGTTTGCGGTAAACTTTCGTAACTTCACGAAGTTTTTCTTTATAGATTAAAAACACATCGCATGTTCGTGACGAACAGTAATATATTGAACGCGAGCCTGTCTAACTTTCAGATTATCGATGACTTCTTTTGTTCTGAGGCTCCTTGTTTCATTAACCAAATTAGCGCGCATTTAATTTATTTATCGCTTCAGTTTTGATCACTTTTTTCGTGATATTTCATCGAGAGCTTCATCCGTAAAATCTGGTAGTTAGACTAAAGCCGAAACACTGTGGAATTTTCAGGAAATTTACTCGCAAAACAGTCGCGAGATCATTTGGCAAATTGTAACAACGATTAAATTCGTTCTTTCTAAGCTGCTTCGACGATTGAAACGCTCATGTCACATATTGCAACGTTCGTTCGTTTTGTACAGGGCCTGAACCCCGGCAAAGCGATAGCGAAACTCAAGAAATTGTTGGCCAATGCCGCCAGTCAGAAGCAGCAACCGAGTCTTAGCTGAATGATGCCTTCATATCTAAGAAGAACTAAGTAGAATTAACGATTTCTATATACTCGTCTGTGTTGCGTTACTACGTGCAGCGAACGTGTGTAGTTAGTGTGATATTTCATACAACAATCGCTGATGTACGTATCTACGAAAATAGCGGACGAAACGTCTTCTAAAAAATTAGGGGATCGATCACGCTCTACTTGTAAATAAAAAGGAGTTTCCCATACGGAATGATATGACGTCACAATTATTAATATGATAGCAACCCATTTCTCGTAAAAGCGAATCACTTGGAATACGCTTTGTCAGTCTGACATTTTTATGGCTCGGCGGCCATCCGAATTCGGGCGGTCTCCCGCGACCGATTGTGTACCTCGGCTGTGCGTAATGTTATGCCGAATATATCTTCATGGTAACGATTCTCATCCTAGGAAAAGAAATAATCGAATTAATTAATTAGCGTAGAATTAATTTTACATCTTGCCGATACAACTTATATTCGAATAGATTACAATTATAATGACATAATTAATGTGCTAGAGTAATGTTATTACTCTATAATAATTAATTAATTAAATGTCTTCAGGATATAATTCACACATTGGAAACGGCATATTTTGAAGATTTTTCTTCAAAGAGATAAAAGCCGATTTTTTCAAAGAGACGTTTCGCTCTTTAACTTGCGGTTAAGCACTCACGAAAAGTATTAATGTAATAAAAGAAAGTAATATAAGAGAGAGTCGCAAGTGATAAAAAAAAAGTACTACATGGATAATTTACCCTGAGTGATAACATATACGCTTCGACTTCTTTATCCGTCATTTGGCCGTGCGTTTGTATAATATGTTTCAAAGTCTGATAAACGTCCTCTGCCATTGTGCAATCTCCGCAAACGTAGAAGTGGCCGCGCTCGTACACTAGCATTGTATAAATCTGAAGAGCCTCTGCTTGGATCAAATCTTGCACATAGGTCTAGGATTCAAGAGAATTATAGGTTTACGAGTTTCCATCTTCTTTGTGCATTACATTATCACATATTGTGTGTACATATATGTATGTACATATACATAAAGTATACATTAATATACCTTTTTGAGACCAGGTTCTCGGGATAACGCTAAGAACACTTTGTTCAAAACGCCAGCTTCCAACATTTCCTGCTTCTCTTGTCTATATAGATCTAAATTTTTTTGACGACAACCGAAGAACAGCCAAACTTTGCCAAACACTTGGTCTGCAAGTGTCAGATGTTACGAGTTTACGCATGTGAGATGTCTTAAATATCATACATGTAAATGTATATATCAGGTATTATTCAGGCTCACATAAATAAAATACTATTCGATGTCAGTCGAAATTTGTCTTGGCAAAATTATGATTTGAGAATTAATCTCAAAAATATCTAATATTAAGAATTAAGAGAGGTCACACACACACACACACACACACACATACACACACACACCACACGAGACAAATGTTATACTAATAATGATATAAATATAATTGATTATTAAATTTTCACACAATGGAAATATTGAAAGTTGATAAAAGTGTGCAATATTTGTCTCATAAAGTATAAACAAGTATATGTGTAAAGAAAATATACCCTGCTGAAGTTTCATCTGGGCGAGCCGGTGATGCCAGAAGCCTCGGAAAGGAGCAATTCCAGTGCCCGGTCCTACCAATATCATCGGTGCTTTAGTTTCCGTGGGCATGTAGAAGTTTGGTGCACTTAAACGTAAATTAATAATTATATTCAACGTGGAAAAGCGTCACATAATGTGTTTAATAGACAGACTTGTCGCTTACCTACGCACAAATACGTATAGCAATTCGCCTTCGGATATTTCCCGCAAATAATTAGAGCAAACACCGAAATGAACTGGTCCAGAGCCACCTTGAATCAATTCAGTCAAATTATACAATTGAAATTAGGTCATGTGAGTTTATTACTAAATTACACGAATACGTATAAATTATTAAAGTAATTCCTGAAATCGTGAATCGTGCTGTGAGAAACTTTAGAAACGCATTCAGCATAAAAACATGAATGAAAGTCTATTGTTTAAAAAAAAAAGTATTTCACTCTTTAATTTGTGATCAGATCTTTTTATGATCTTTATAGAAAAATGTATCTTTTATTCTGATCCAGCCATACTCAAGAGATCGGAAGTAAACCATCGTGGATTTCCTTGTTATAGATACCTTGCGTTTGGTATTGCACCACTGCGACTGTCAGATGTATTTGTCCTCGATGTACGCAAGGGGATGACGAAATGCTGTAGAATCTCGGTTGCAAGGGTGTCAGATGAAGCAAAAGCAACGGAGCGAACGGAGTCACAGATGGAAACTCATCCAAAACTTCGGCCAGATTGGGAAATTTCCAATGTCTCCAATCTTCATAAGCTGCCGGATCCTAGTTTTAAAGAGAATCTCTTAAATTTTCCATAGATTTAATCTTTTCATGTTTTCTCACAGATTATTATATATATATAAATGGTTGAATAGACTCGTAGACTCGGCTTTATAAAAGAAAGTAGAATATATATGTACAAATATCTCAACTTCTTAAAATCTTTTCAAATTTCCTTCCATACTATTTATACTTTAAGTTGAAATTGAATAATATGTTGAATGTCTGTATTTAATCATTTGCAATCAACAGAAATACCTTTTCGGTCGGAAACATTTTTCAAGTTCGACCTTTGACTTTTTTCGCCGATTTAACATTGTTAAAACTTCTCATATGTTATCGTATAAAATAGCTACGTTTTTACACATTTACATATTTACGTATTTACATATTTACAGAGGCCAGAAGATCAAGTTGCGCCTGTTCTTTTGGATTTGTAGCTACCGAAGCGAAGTATCGTAACAGATTTGGCGTAGGCGGCATCGTAATGTCTAAAAATCGAGTCAGTAGCATCTTGAAAGAATTCGGTAGATATCTATCATGAGCTATCCACGTTTTTACGATGCCTGTGAAAAGGATCTCTCGTTATTTGCTGATAACAGAAAATAGAAGGAAAATGGATAAAAATGAAAGGAAAATTCATTAGGCTCGTACCATTAGGAGTATGCGCTTGCTTTTGCATTTGCAGTTCAATCGATGTATCGACGTCGAAAGTAGATTGTACACGTTGCAATATTCTCTCTACGAGTTCCGCTCGGTTGCACGCAAACACTCCCAAGTGATCTCCAGGTTTGTAAGAGATATCCAAGCCCATTATATCGTCCAGTTCCAGGAGCAATGTCGTCCCGCTGTACGTGCGATAAAAATTAATATCTATAGGACAAACATAGTCGCAACATCGCCATGCTAAACTCCACGGAATTCCCGTTATTACCTCGATTCATCGCCGCTGATGTTGCTTCTCCGAAGCATATTGCACATTGTTACATTCCTGTTGTGGCATTTGCTCAACGCTGAAATTTAATTTTTATCAAGACACATTCCACTTATAATTTTTTTATTTCGTATATATCGTGAAACGGAAAATGCGAGTAAATAAATCAGCTAGATGCATAAAAGTTGTCATACTCATCTACCTTTGACGATCGGTTGAGGCTCAACTTCCACAAAACGAACGGTCGCCGCCGATAACGCTTCAGAACCCAAAGACAAGGCTACTTCCAGTAGTGTGTCGTCGTCATCCAAGCAGAATGTTTCGCATGCGACCTACAATATTATGCACATTTCATTGTGCAAACATCGAGACTACATAAAGGTCTAGTAGAAATACAAATTGCTTTTGAGAATTTTGTTGCGGTCGCATTTAAGTACTAAAATAAACAAACCCAGCTTGCATACACAATTAACGGTATATAAATCTATAAAGAGCCAACCGCGAAAGTATCAGCTGCCCATTTCCGAAAAGTCTGCTCCTGTCCACACATTTCATCACCCTGGGCCAAGCGCGCCAGTCGTTCTCCGCCTAATTCGCCCAGCAAGTTGTCAACGTAACGGCCAAATGCACAAAAATTTGGATATGCCGACGAGCCCAATGCGAATACCGCAAACCTGGTGATTGTGTTTCAAAATCAGTTCTTCAGTATGTAAAATCTTGACGTGAATCACTTTAAAAAAAAATTTGACAAATGAGCTTCATATATTGCAAAGTGATTGATGAATTACCGAACGTTACTGAGAGGCCCAAAAGTATCTTCGGTTTGCGAGTCCGTCGTGGAACCGCGCAAGGAATCCAGTCTGTCCAATTTTTTCGATCCACTTACTTCCGTTTGGCTGTTGGCTTTGATAAATGACTTGGAGGTCGCCAAACTGAAAATTACTTTCGCATTATAGATATACATAATTTTAATGGTCTTTTTCTCATACGTTAGCGTGGGATTGTACCTTATTTTATTTTCGCTGTTTATATAGGCGTCATTCATTTTCATCGCGTATAAGTTTTGTGCAAAAATCTGCAATACATTTTATACGTTGTTTCTTAAGTGTTGTTATTGCATAATAATAATTTATTTATAATAATTTAGATAATAAATAAACGTACCTCTCCATTTTCTGGCGGATCACCGTTTCCGAAAGTAGAAGTTATTACCAGCAGTAGAGCTTCGTGTTCTATGTTACTGATGTCGTATTCCGCCATTGAAAGTACCTATGCACAGAATTAGTATTTGCTTTACTTTTCATCATGATTATATATACATCATTAAATTATAATTCTTTAAAAAAAATAAAAGAAAATTTAACATTGATTACTGTATATAAAATATTTCAAAGCTAAGTCTCATTGTATTTAACGAATACACCATGAAAAAGATAGATAAATGGAACAATTTCACATAAAGTATGATTTAACAAGTTGAAAAGGTTTCCACATATCCTTTGAATTTTATGTTATAATAAAGTATTATGTATACCTGAGAATGAAAAGCATGACCTAATAACTCGCCCAGTTTCTCCGCGTACATCTGTGATGTACCAGTTTCCGTAGCGAACAACACCGTTGCCTTTATTCGACGCGATAATGCTCGTCCAAACAATTTAGATGTGAATTTCACGGCTCTGGAACATTTTAATTTTGAAATCGAGAAGCTAGGAGTCGTAAGTCCAAATTAAATAAATCTAAAACGTATTTAACGTATGATAAGAAAATATTTCATTCGCGATTTTATAACAGTATATCTTTAATTTGTTATCTTTACTTTAAATAATTTAATTTGCAGTCACCTCGCAATTTGCTTAAAATGAAACTTCCGTCTTGGTTTTTTTGATGTTGCCTTCTTGTCGCGACCTTTCTTCCATACATGAGTTTTCCACGCTGGATCCTACATCAAGATTATGATATCTTAGCTGAAGTACTATAGCGATAAAATTTGTGAAGAGCTACAATATCTTTATACTAATTTGGAAGCTAATTTTCAGCATATCTTTTTAATAAAAAGTAAGTTATGCGCGGGAAAAGGAATACCTGAGCGTCGTAAGAGGGCTTTAAATGATAGAGCGCCATTTCCTGATGAAATACCGGTGTTGCAGACCCAGATATTGGCGGCACAATCCACAGCCAATCCGCGGGGCAACCATTTCGAAGACGCATCTCGTTTTCATAATGCTTCATAAAGGATTCCGAAGCTGTATGATGATCCACGATCGTCACATTCTTCATCTAAAGTGAAATTCGTCAGGTCAAATAGAATGACATTTTAATATATGCGCGAACATGCGCACATCGTAGCAAATGTTTCGTAGAAATTTCCTCATGAAAATTTCCCGAAAATATTATAATTCTTTTTTTTTTCTGAAAATTCGATATTTCTAGTCGTACAACAAAGTAGATGATATTAATATGAAAAAAAGCAGAAACTGTAGGATGGATTTTTTTCAACATTATTCTCGAAAAGAAAATTCGCAAAGTTATAGATAATAATAATATAATAATTTTAAATAATAATAATAAAAAATTGTTTCAGGAACAGTCGATTTCACCTGAAAACTATGCAGCACCGCGACATTAGTCTCAATCATTGCTTTGTCTTTCCACAAAGATGTGGATGTCCTTGTGTCTAGACCCATGTTCGTCGCTATTATCTGAAAACGTCGTTTCCTCTTGACTTAGTGCTTAATGATAATTGACTATTGAGCAAAGCGGCTCATTACAATACTAATTTCAGCTTCGGACGAAGGTGAAACAACTTCTCAGTTAACACAAATTGAGAACTTGGTTACTCAGTAGCACAAATCATCAAGGACGAAATAATGTCTCTAATACCTAACGATAACCGTATTGAGGTAGAAATGATAGGAGAATTATGAAAATATACAAGCATAGAAAATTACTTGAAGCATGTTGTATCGTTGTGTGTCGCATAAATCTCTGGAGCCGATTTCGGTGCTCATGTACCAGCCGTTGAAAGGTGCCGCTGTGAATACCAGGCCTCCGCAATCGAAAACCATCCCGGACACGGCCGGAACAGCGAACCACTTGAGACCCAATTTCTCAAACCAATCGTATCTATTTTGCCCAACGTTATATAACATAACATTTTATTATATCGAAAGTTATCCCGTAATTATGACATATTGTGCAATGTGCTTCTTCAGTTTGATGTAATAAGTTTGAATAACAAAGGCATTCTATTTAAAGAGCACCGGGGAATTATTAATTACCACTTACGCAGGATGACTGAGAGGTACTTCGAGTACCAGATCACTAGGAATATCGAAATAATCAGGATCGTGTCCGTTGGCGGACAAAACTAACGGCAGTATGTCGAATCTGGTTCGCGCGCCTTTCCATCCCAGCTTCATGCAGACCTGTTGAAGCACGGGAACTATATAGCTTTTTTGGGAATATTCAAATCTATTGTGATGTATTCAAATATATTCTTTTTTCCTTATAGAGAAGTTCAAAATCTTTTTACAAATTCTGTTCGCAACGATACAAGTAACAAAATTATTTTCGTACACTTTTTGATTTCAGAGCATGAGAAAAATTAATTAATAGTTTATTCCTTAGGAGGAGAAAATAATTTTCATTTATTTAACATTTATGAAAACATAGGGAAATGTTAAAGTTATATTTCGAATGACTTTCAAAAGGACCGAAATTCACTTTCGAATTAATGAGCAATTAGGCTTAGTCATTGATATCGTATAGACCATATAATTAGGGCGTTCAATAATTACACGGCACGGTAATCATGCGTACACGGATACAATCACTCATCTGTTATTGATTTTCAGAGCTTAGCTGATATTGATTTTCGCTGTTCAAGTAATGTTGCTTTTGGCTTTCAGTCACAGGGCTGAGCGCGTGAGCTCTACGGGATGCCATTAATCTCAATTAATTATTTTCTAATTTGAAATTAATATAACTTTCTTGCTTGCTTTTTGCATATTGGAGATTTCAATTTTAATTGCGTATACGTTGCGTTTACAAAATACATGTTTGGAATATTTTATGCTGGTAATGAGATATGTACATTCATATGTATAAATGATTGAATGTTTTTATTGATATAATTTGTTTAAATTATATAAATAAATATATATAGGAATATACACACTTATTCGTTAATAAATTATAATTTATTATAATAAATAAGTGAATAAATATAAATAATTGTATATTTATTGATTTTTTATATATAAATACCTCTGTAAATTCCACATTGGCGGGATCACCAAGAATGGTGCCATCTGGATTTTTGTATCCTGCATAATTAATTAACTGCTGATTCCATACTCTGTAGTCATGTTTTCCATCAGTCCGTTGCGGGAATATTGTTATTGCTGATCTGTAAAATAGTAAATGCTAAAAATAGAATATATACAGTATTTTGGGTATTTCATATTTGAATATTTAAATTCTTCGGCATGTTCGCGTGTATCTTTTCAGTGTTCCCATCGAAAAGTGTTACAAAATTACCTGATGTTTCCTTTATTTGTGCTGTACTTTATGTGATTGCACAAAGCTTCGAACATACCGCTCGTGGTCGTAACGTAGCGACAATCGAAAACCTACAGAGAAATTAATTTTATCAACAAGTGATTAACAAGGGATACATAGCTCTTCAAGAAAATATTACGTTTCGCGAAGAAGATGAGTATTATGGCAAAGTAAACCTGTAATTTTGACCATTGTATACGACCGATGCATCTCGCGGCGTTTCGCCAGGCTAATTTTGCGCCGAAAACCAATTCCGTCTCCGTCAACTGATAAGTACTAGTTGTCACCACCTCCCTTTGAACGCTCTCCCAACGGGCACGGTGAGCATCGCTGTTCAACCTGCGTCGAAGATAATACGTAAATTCGCACGAAACATCCAAAACAAGATTCACCCGCTATTGAGAAAGTCTGAGGAACACAGGCGATCCTGATACCTTCTGATAGAAGTGAAATATTGCTCCAGGAAGTCTTTCGCGTGAATTAATGTCTCCTCCTTCGTACGTGCCTCGGTTCCGTGGGTCGGTAGCTGCATCACACTACCGAGGCAAACTTGACTTGAGCAAAGAGTTCTCTGGAAAAGAAATTTGCAGAAGATATTTTATATTCTATAATTTTTCTGTACTAAATTTATTTTATCTCTTCTTATTATTACACCACACGTTCGCCTTAAAGATAACGAAGTTAATAAGTTCAATGTATTAGTCACGATGAAAAGATCGTACGACGGTATAATTAATTATAATCCAAGTTATCTCTTTTAATTTAATATGCTACCGACACGCTCAAGAGCTTCAAGGATTTTTATTTCTTTTTTTTCTAAAATACCTCAGCATTTTTCACATGCAAGGAATCAAATGCCTCCGTCTTATCCGTGAGGTTCCTAAGTTTCGTGGGTTTTCTTTGATGGGCCGTTCCGTCGTGATCCTTCATTCTGCGTTTGAGTTCACGTGCTCGATTGTCCTTGCCCGACTGACTCTGCACAAGTGCGACGATAAGGAGAGAAGGACGTGAGAGGACCGGACACGGAGATGACAGAACGCAGCATCTCACGTGCCGTCATCTCACATGCGCCAGCATGCGCAACATTGATCCGCTCTGCTCGTACCGTGAATGTTTGTAGAATCAATCAACGGGGCGGATAGAATATTTTACGTCAAAAACGATCATTTTGAGCGGACCTCGAACTTGCAGCTCGTTAATGTCTCATGCATAAACAATCTTCTTGTTTCTTTTTGTTATTTTTGTATTTTACTTTATAATATAAATAAAATAATGATTATAATAATAATAATTTGTAAGTGTTGGAGACTAAACAAGGCTCAACCATTACCGAGATATGCGACACACACACACACACACACACACACACATATATATATGAACATAATATAATATAATTATAGTATTAATATAGAGAGTAATAACAATTGGTTATTCGGAACGTAATGATCTGCGATCGGATATGTAATGATCATCGCGATGTAGACAGGATAATATACTAGAACGTACAGGTTTAAAAACCATAAAATATATAAATAGAATTTGGCGGACAATGGCAAACAAATCTTAGATTCTCAAGTTCGAGGAAACTTTTTCTTTAAGAATTGTTTAGAATTTGTTTAATTTCAATTATATTTAATTATATATAATTTATAGATTATATCGTATTATTATAGATACTTTGTAGATCATAAGGGATCTACAATGATAGGATGTCATTAGGAATACGTAATAATTTATTTCGTAGCACGAAAAAAAATTATTGCGTATTCTAAAATGGACGTGGAAAAACCGGGAAATCGGAATATAGTTGATGGAATAGTATTGTAATTATTATGCTATGGTTGTCTTAGCACAATACTTTCTTATAAATTATGTGTGCATCCAAATATTTATTACTTATCCAGTATAAAAATATATATATGTATACAACTTTAATTATTCATTAAAGTCGTTGAACAATCCCACTTCATAGATCTTTCAACAGCCATTTTCCACTTAGAATATCTAAGATCTCTCTCTAAAACGAGAATTATTATATTGATTCATTATTTTTATTTGCATTATTTACAAGCTAATATTTATATCCTATATTTAAAAGATATTCAGAATGTAAGAAGATAGACTAATAGTTTATTATAAAATTGTAACATCAGCAGATACTACAAATTTACAATAATTGCACATTCCGTGAGATTTAAATCAAATTAAAGTCATATTTGCAAAAGTGCAAACAGATCCAATTTTTAAGAAAAAGAATTGAAATTCTGTTTCTTTTAGATATGTCTATTGTTATATGATATATATACGATATTTATATTCATGAATATTACTATATTACGTATTTTCTTTTTCTTTATCTACTTAAGTTACCACTGACATGTTATAAAAAAAATATCGTTGCTTACCATCTTCGCTAATTGCAGGTGAAAACTTAGTTACTTGAGACCCATCCACATCATTTATGTCGATCAAACCTGCACCAATACCAGCTAAAATAGCAGCACCTAGTGCCGTCGTCTCAACCATGTTTGGCCTCACTGTTCGACATAAGTTTATCTATATGAGAAATATCTCATAACAAATTAATAATTGATCTATATGATACGTGAAATTCCTCTGAAGATACTTCCAATTCTAAATTATAAGAACGAATATATAGTGCAAGTTGTATCGATGTCGTTTACTCACCAACCGTTATTCCCGTCAAGTCCGCCTGCAACTGCATTAATAAATTGTTTACAGTCATGCCACCGTCAACTTGCAACGTCGTCAGCTTTGTTCCAGAATCTTTCACCATCGCTTCCAATATGTCCCTTGTTTGAAAGCAAACTGCTTCTAACGCCGCTCGTATAATATGATATTGCTGAGTATCCTCGGTAATCCCGCAAATTACTCTGATTGAAATAAATCGGCGATAAGTAACATAAAAAATCAAGCACACATACTGATATATTAATTACTCACACAGAAAGATCTAATTAAACATTCAGATATCTTTATATAGGGTACGATTAAAGTAGAGATACGAGAAGTGTAATATGCTAGCAAAAGGACAATAAAGAAAGTTTTAGTGAGAAATAATACCCGCGTGCATCTTGTTGCCAATAAGGCGCGTACAGCCCTGAAAAAGCCGGTACGAAATACACATCGCCGGAACATCTCACACGTTCTGCCATATCCTGCGACTGCGTGATATTAGTAAGAATTTGTATATTATCTCGCAGCCAAGATAAAGCAGCGCCGGCAACAGCGACAGAACCTTCTAATGCGTAAACAGGCGGGAATCGTGCAATCTTGTAAGCAACGGTGGTTAACAAACCTTGCGTCGAATCGACTTTCTGCAAAGCAATATTTCGTGTCTCTCGTTACTACTCGAGCGCTTCTCTCAATATACAAAGGAAGAACGTTTGCTACGCATTCTATACCACTCGATCGGTCTGTATTATACATACTACATTTCCTGTATTGTAAAGCAAAAAGCATCCCGTGCCATATGTAGCCTTCGCTTGACCAGGTTTCAAACATAATTGACCAAGAAGAGCTCCTTGTTGATCGCCTACACACTGTAGGACAAAGAACATATAGAAGAATAACTATTGCACAGTGTACTTCCAGTATGTATATGTAATTTTTTTCTTACACTCAAAATGCTAAAATTGTTTCATTCGTACGAAAGCTACTAGATTCTAAGATGTTTAATACTATGTTTACTTACACCTGCTATGGGTATGCCCGCAAGAACTTCAGGGTTTGAAATATGACCGTAGATCTCTGCACTGGATCGTATTTCAGGAAGAATATGTTGTGGGATGCCAAAAAAGCGGCATAACAGAGAATCCCACTTTAATGTTTCGATATTCATCAGCATCGTGCGGGATGCATTCGATACATCCGTAATGTGTAATTGACCCTCGGTGAGATTCTAAGTACAAAAAATATATTCTATGATCGATAATTTTTTTCCTTTGATATAGTAACTTTATTATAAGCAAATAATAACAACCAATTTATACGAAGAAATTAATTAAATTGCATTTGATGCATCTTATATATATGTATATATAAATCATGAGAAAAAAATTCATAGCACATTCTATATGCTTTTTTAATCAAATTTAATTTATATTTACATTATATATAAGAAATTTACATATAAGATGTTAGTTTAAACTATTCGACGAAAATACTTATTTACCCAAATTAGCCAAGTATCAACTGTTCCAAAAGCACACCTGCTTGCATCTACTGCTTGCTTAACACGTGGCACATTATCTATCAACCAGCGTATCTTAAGAGCACTAAAATAAGGAGACATTGGTAAACCACATAAAGGCTTTAAGTAATTCTTATTTCTCGTTTTGTTAGGAACACTATCCAATACATCATCTAGGGTCGTAGTTGTTCTCATATCAAGCCATACTGCAAAATAATGATAAGTAATGGTAAATTTTGTATAATAATCCTATTCACAACTTAGTGGTTAACACACCTGTATGTGATATATCATTAAAATTCAAAGCAATAAAAAACAGGATGTTTTATATAACTATTACGTACCAATTGCATTATGCAAAGGTTCTCCAGTCTGCTTATCCCATATCAAAGTTGTTTCTCTCTGATTAGTAATGCCAACAGTTTTGATATCAGAAACAGATAGGCCCATGTCCTTCATCTTGTTTATGGTTTCTTTGATACATTCAATGACAGCTTGTAATATCTCTTTTGGATCCTGCTCAACCCATCCTTCTTGAGGATATTTCTGCTTGATTTCGATCTGATGTGAAGCAACTACTTTTCTATGCAATACATCAAACACCTAAACAAATATAATATAATAATATTGATGAAAAAGTGGAATAACAAAGGCAAGATATATTATGTACTTTAATTTTGCAAAGTATATTATATTCTTCATTCTAATATATTCTAATACAAAATATATAATATATGTCATAACTTAATAGTTATATAACAATAGTTAACAAGCTGAATTGTTGAATAAATTGCATTTTTATATTCTTAATGGTTTTCCAATAGATAATACATAAAATATTAAACAGACTATTCTGTATGTATTAAAAATCTTCTTCTTTACGACGTAATGTAAGAAAGTGCTGTCATTGCATATTGTACAAATCTATCCATTGTACAGATTTTCTTCTATAAAGAATTGAATTAATATAATCGGTACTTTACCAAAAATCTAGCACTACTCGTCCCTTCGTCAATAGCACCTATTAAAGGTCCAAATCCAGTTATGTGTTCTGGCATTTTGTTTCTTTCAAAAAGTCACTGTCGTGTTGTTGCTTCCTGTCAAAGACGACAATATGTACATTTAACCTTCGTCCTATTCCGTTACGTAATGCGTGGACAAGTCCCGACGTAAGAGCTTCCAAACTATTACACCGATCTATACAGATTCAAGTATATAAATATATGTGTATAATTATCTATATTTAGTTTTATTATTTAAACTTATTATTCATTTCATTAAACTAAATTTAAACACAAAGTTTAGAACTTAAAAATTTTTCATCATGACGTAAAATACAGATTCATGTTAGTGAACTCGATTTCCTGCACATTTAAAAAAGTAACTAATTATCTAGGAATCTATCTATATGGATCATTTTCTTGCTTAATGATACAAATAAAATGTAAAGTTAAAATGTCACAATTGCTTTAAACTAACTAGTGTTGTAAGTTATAGGTATGAACGATAACATCTCGATTATTTTGATAACAATTATTTTCGTCTTATAAATCCAATTACAGCTTATAATTATTTATATCTTACTTGGTTATCATATAATGTTTTTTCACCTTTATTATTCTCTAAATGATAATTTTTTGTTCGATGTTATCAGAATCATTAATAACATTCTTGACTGACTTAATTGTGGCTTGAATCTTGGCAAAAATTTATGTTATTGCGGTCCGAATCTCAATTAAAAAATTATTTTTAACTGAGCAATCATTCATTTTAGTAAACTATGGCTCCAGACAAATAGTCCTAGCTCCAGTCTCCGACACAAATAGTCCTAGCTCCAGTCTCGAGGTCAAATAAATCTCTAGTTGTAGTTCAATAGTCGTTCGACTCGTCTCCTACTTTCGTTATAATGGATTGAGTGATCGCAATGTTACAAGAGTGGGCGTTTGTAAGAAGAGGGGAGGTCAATTGAACCATTCAATACATTCAACTTCAATACATTCTAACTATACTTACGTCGTGACGTTATTCACCGCGTGTATTAAAACATTCGCTTTAAGGCCTATACTTTAACAGAGTGCATCGAGTGGTACTTTAACAAGCAATCACTGATAAATCATAGCTGATAATATTCTTTAAGTTTTTCTGAGATAGTGAAAGTTATCTGAAATATTGAAAAACGTGTCTTTTGTTTGAATTCTCAGTGTCGGAAAAAATCAGACATCTGGAGATGAGAACATACGTATTGTAAATTATAAATCTTTTTATCACACGCTACAAAAAGTAAAGATTAATTGTCACGTAATAAATCGCATGTGACAAGATAACAACTATATAAAGCGAGGTAGTATTATTGCATTCCAGTATTGTTCACACTTATCAACGAGGTTGCTTACGCTTATAAACGAGATTGTAACGGTGAATACACATTGATTTGTAGTTCTGCTATATTAATCGTAAGTATAACGAAATATTGTTACATTTTGTAATAAAAGTTGTATACGTTCAGATACGATTATGGCTCAAAATAGAAATATTGACTTGAGTATAGTAAATGACAAGTTTACGGAAAAAGTACTGCAAGACATTCTCTGTAAGGCATATAATGGGAAAAAAGTGCAACTTACGGATTGGAAATTTGGTGATGAATTTGCCAAAGGTGACAACTACTTGTCAGTTGTTAACAGGATTGCATTATATGGTATTATGAATGATGAAACAAGACAAGAAGTTCAAGTTAATATTGTTGTAAAGTCTATTCCTCAGAATGTTGGCCGTAGGAAAACTTTTAGAAGCTCAGACTTTTTCTCTAATGAAATTGTATTTTACACACAGGTAAAATTATGTTAGATTTATCTTATTTTTATATATCCAGAGATATGTATTAGATATTTGAAAAAAGTTGACATTACTTTCGTATATGGTGAAATATGTTCTTCAACAATTATTATTTTACAGGTAGTTCCTAAGTTTGAGAAGTTCTTGAAAGAAAAAGGAAAGAGCAATCTATTATGCATACCACGTTACCTAAACTCCTATATGGATGGTGAAAATGATTTTATAGTACTGGAAGATGCCACACCTTTAGGATTTGGACCTGCATCAAGACAGAGCTGTATAGATTGGGCAGAATGCATAGTAATATTAGAGGCACTCGCAAAATTTCATGCCATCTCTTTCGCATATAAGGATCAAAAGGAGGAATTTGCAGAGATTGTAAATTGTTTAAAAGATACTTATTTTGGTGAACATGTTTGGAATTGGTACCGAAAATTTCATGTATGTATTTCACATTAAATATATTATATATGCAATAATCCTGTTACATTTGAACATAACTTAATTATTATTACAAACTGAGTTTTCCTTTTAGGAGAGATTAATAAGAATAGCTAAACATGCATTAATGACTGAATATCCTGACAGCAAAAGTGTGAAGCAATTTAATTCTTATAAATTTGGTGCACTATATGACATATGTGTAAAATTAGTATGCGAGAGAAAACATGCTCCTACATCTGTCATATGTGCAGGCGATTGTTGGGCACCAAACTTTTTAGTTCGAGACATTGGCCAAAATCAAAAGGAGGCATTACTACTCGACTTTCAATTAGCACGTACTGCCAGTCTTGTCACAGACTTATCCTTTCTGATTTATTCATGCACTCAGCAATCATTTCGAGATCAATATTTTGACAATATCTTGGAAACTTATCATTCCTTTTTGAGCGATGCTATCAGAACTCTTGGATCTGACCCAGAAAAGATCTATCCATGGGACTTGTTCATGAAAGAAGTAAGCTTTGCTTATTTTGTGATATAAATTCTTTTTTCTTTTTTTCGAAAAAGAGAGTACCAATTCTTATATCAATTGCAGGTGAAGGAGAATTTTATTCTGGGTGCAATTTTTGCGCTCGAAGCTATTCCATTTACACTATTTGATCCGTCTCAATCATTCGATTTGGACGCTATTATCAAAGGTGACGAGGCAGTGGATATTGCCGATGTATGGAATCTACACGAAATTGAATCGTCTAGTGGAAGAAAAAGATTGGCAGATATGTTGGTTCATGCTGTTGAGCATGGATATTTATAAGATGAATTTTTACACAAGAAACATCTTTACTGTTTCTATTGGTTCAATATTAGTTTAATATTAGAATTAATTATTAACCACGAAATGATATATTATAGAAAAAATTTCATTTTTGATAACACAGCCTCTGAACACAATACGAAACAAAATTTTAAGTATTATATAGAAAGTATGAATCTAATTCCTAGCTCTCCACAAGAAGTCTCTGTGGTCTCTTGCCTTTTAAAGTAATATGTAAATATATATTTGGGAAATGTCTTTTTTTTTTACATATATAATCTTTATTAAATGTGCTTGCATTAAATAAAATAGAGACAATCTATATTTGTATAATTTCAGTAACAACAACATAGATCCAATTAAAATATAATTCGTACAAGAGTAAAGATATAGCCATCCATATATGTATATAACTTTTTACATCAGCAGATAGATGATAAGATCCTGTATTATCACATAGTTTCATTAATAGGGTAGAGATATATTGGTAGAAATATCTTGTATTTTTCTTTCATTTTAGGAAAAGTACATCTATATTGCCGAAAAGCACAATATATCAGTGATAAATGCATCACAGATGCGTATCTGATGTTAATATATCTCGCTGCACTAAGCAAATGTAACTTTATTCGAATAGAGACGCTGAAAAATTGATTAAGTCTGTCTCGCGACTGTTAGTTCCCCTTGTTCATCTACCTCGAGAGAAGTCACGATAGAGTTAGTTGGATCTCTTATAACCACATCATGCCATGAGAGTAACTTTACACCGATAACACGTACAGTTGTAATAGCACAAACGGTGTGTCCCACTATAGAATACTTCTATGTATTCTGATGCTGAATGTTATTCGTCAAAACGTTACTCGCGTCAAAAACTGTTGTATCTTCATCATCTTCCTCTTCCAACGGCAGTGGTCGCATCTCGACGTCCTGCCTGTGCGTAAGGACACCATACTTTCGAACCATCTGGGCACGTGTCTTACTTAACCTGTTAATGAGACGCAGAGACATTAAGAATTATAGAAAATTCGTGCTGTTACTGTCATATATTACCACATCAAAACCTACCTAAAGCTACGGAACACGATGTAGGCCATAACAAGGATGCTTAGTCCTACAAAGACTAAGAAACCACGCACAAGAGCACCAGTGTTGAAGGTTGTGTGACCCTCACTGGAGTGCTGTGTAAAAAGAATACGCTACAATTGGCAACATTGTTCATACATTACAATGTGTCTGAAAACATCAATGTATAAAACATCCAATTTCCAAATGATGATACTTCGCCCTAAGAGCAGAGACGAAGAGGATCTCACGCGAAAAGCTTTACTTTCCCACAATACCAAACGATTACGGTCGTACGATCGTCAAGACCGTCGAAGAGTTCACCGCGCGTTAATTTCTCATTCTCTACGTATCCGCTCCCAGGGAAAGCTTACACGATCGCGCCACCTTTTTGTGCGCGCAATTACGACTGCGAGGCATGAAACCAACCTCGTCGGTCGCGTCCGCGGCGTGTGCGGTCTTATTCGTGACGGCGACGGCGACGGCAACGGCGTCCGGCTTCGAGGTTATGTTGTGCGTCTTGTTGCTCGTATCAGCCGGCGATTTGGCCTTCGTATTAACCGACGCTCCGTCTGCAGTCTGCTGTCCATTCGTGTTCTTACCCGGGGACGACGGCGTCGCCGCCACCGGCTGCTCGCCGACCTTGCCGCCGGTGTCCTCGACCTTATCCTTGCTCCCAACTGTCGATGCGTCTCTCCTCTCCCGAAAGCTGCCCTCGCTGGTCGCGGTCTGCGCCAGCAGGAAGATCAACAGGAACAGAAAAAATTTCATCTTCTGGATCTTCGAGCGCGTCATCGTGCCCAATCATTTAAGCGACGATTCTGTGCCGATGACTGCGATCCTCCGCGCACGGATATGTTTGTGTTCTCGTCCGCTTGCTCTCTCTCACTCTTACTCTCTCTCTCTCTCTCTCTTTCTCCCTCACGACGTGACAGCTCCTACTTCTCCTCCCCCGCGCACCGACGCGAGTTCCATGTCCTCCCGACTGACGCGCACAAACCGAAACCACTGGCGAACGGCGTTCGCGCTCCGCCGCGCGTCCAACTTCGCCACAGAGCCGCTACAGCTGTTCCGTCGCGACGCAACAGTCCTCCATTCCGAACAGTTTTGTTTACTCGTACCGTCGTAGGCGCATGCGCCGCACGTGCCAGCGGGCGCGCAAATGTCAATGTCAGTCGTAAATTTGAAAAATACCATGCGTGACAAATCCCCCTAACAGACATCGAGTATAGGTATCGAAGGATCGTGGAGACTGAAGATCGCCAATCGGCCAGTCGTGTGTCGTGTGATCGAAGATCAAGCGTGATCAAATGAATCGATCAGAGTCAGTGGAGTTTAATCTGGACACACACAGTGCATCCGGAGGTGGTGCGTCGATCGTAAATCTCCTCTTCCAACGAGAAGCTGCCCTAACTGCCGGACGCACTTGAAATCGTCCACTCTCCACACGAGCTCACCGACCGGAGGAAACAAAAGATAAACTTCTCAGTTGTATGTACGCTTCACTCGGCGCATGTCATTCGTGTGATTTACGCGTGCGCTGCTGCGGGGTGACCGACGCGTTAATCCGATCCTGCCGAGTATATACCGCACATACGTGTGCATGTATGATTGCGATACGCGCGCGAGAGAGGCGGTGAGAGCGAAATAAGAGAGAGAGATAGATAGAGAGAGAGAGAGAGAGAGAGGGAGAAGAGAGACAGAGGGCGAGACGGACAGACAGCCAGCCAGGCAGCCAAAGAGAGTGAGTCGTGTCGGAAGAAGTAGCGGTTCGCGAGATCGGTCGATCGGTCGGTCGTTCGTTCGTTTACTCGTTCGGTCGGTCGGTCGGTCGTTGATTAATTATTCGCCTTGCGCTCCGTATATGCCCGTCTCATCAGTGGATGTAAACGGCGCGGCCGCGGCCGCGGCTGCGGTCGCGATTACCGCGCTCGACGGCGAATCGAACGACGGCCGCGACGGATTATCATCATCATCGTCGTCGTCGTCGCGACGGTTGCGGTGGCCGCTCGCTTGGCTGAATATGATGCGCGCCTGCGACGACGTTCTCTTGGAGAAATTCCGCGGTGCCAATAGCACCGCGTCAACAACGACGACCGTAGCGACAGCGGTGACAGCAGTAGCGGTTACGGTGGAGAAGGATGGAGACGCGGCGCCGACCGAAGTGGCAACGTCGAAAAAGTGCGAAGGGCAGCTACCTTCCTCGTTTAAGGCGAACAGCTGTTCGTCCTGCTGTTGTTGTTGCAAGTCCGCCATCACCAGTCGCACGACAGAAATGGCGCAAGAGGATCATTCCGGCGGACCCTCCTGGGACAATCTGCCCAGTGTTATCCTGCAGGAGATATTCTCGTATTTGTCGCATGAGTCGCGAATTAAAGCCTCCCAGGTATGTATTGACAACCGGAGAAGGAAAGAGAGAGAGAGAGAGAGAGAGAGAGAGAGAGAGTGTGCGTGTGTGTGTGTGTTGCGTGAGAGAGAGAAAGAAAGAGATAGGATATTATTTATTTCGCCTTCTAGAAAAAAATTCCATTAAACGCATATAAGGCGAGAAGAGAGAGAAAGAGAGAGGGAAGGAGAGGGAGAAAGAGAGAGAGAGAGAGAGAGAGAGAGAGAGAGAGAGAGAGAGAGAGAGAGAGAGAAAAGAGAGAGTGTATGTTGTATGTGGGCATTAGCGTGCGCGCGTAGTGCGTGTTTGTCCTTATTTTTGCTTATTTTTGTTCCTTCATCTTCCAATATCGCGGTGCAAGCCGATTTAATGCGCGACGAAGTCATCGCGTCGCGGCCGTCAGATGCTCGAGAAGATGTTTCTCGTGACGACAAAATACAAATATAAAACGCAACATGAAAATTCATCCTCTCGCTCGCTCGCTCGCTCGCTCGCTCGTTCTTTCTCTATATATAATTTCTAACTGTTATCCGCGTGGAGAAAAATCCGGTTGCACGAATTGTCGCTCGCGCGTTCAGCAGCTGTCAGCGTTAGATCAGCGCTTTCTGCTGCGTTTCCGACAAAAGGTCCGCTAAACACTTTTCGATATCACGTCACGAGCGATTGTGTTTTCCAACATGTGCTTGTTAAATGAACTTTCAGTATGCTGGAAAAGATGGCGACCGATCTTGGTAAACATGTTGGAAAGGCGCAAACAGCCAGACTGCTGTTTAGCAGACGATCTAACATGTAGCGATCGCGAAACCGTGGCTTAAGATATGGAAATGAAAATTTCGCTTTTATATATGTAAAATATTATTTACATATATAATATGTCGCTCAATGTCGAGATTGATGATTTAATTATGCAGATAATAAATCTGTCTGTCTCTTTGAAAAATTTCTGGATTAGTGCGATAAGTCAGAGCGAAACAAATATATTTGTTATATATTTGTTGTACTCTAATTTATTACACCAAGGCACACTAATTCAGAAGTTTCTTTGAAAATGAACAGATGTATGTAACAGATGTAAATGAACAGAATGTAATTTTTTCCCAACAAGTGATTATCAACAAGTTGATATTTATATTTTCCAACAAATGATATCATATGGATAACGTATCAATCTGTTGATTTTCATGCTTGATCAACATGAGATTTGTTGAATGAGCTTGTCGTTGAACTTGCACAGGTGTGCAGAAATTGGAGGTACACCTTGTTCCATCCAAGTTTCTGGAGGAAAATTTCTTTTGTGTTCAAAGATGAGGATAGTGTTTCGTGGGTTAGGTAAGTAGAGCCAGGCTACCTGTTCTATCAGTTATTAATGTTATTAAGAATCGTACACCATACGCTCTCTATAGATTCATGGCAGATTGTTTTGCTCTGAGTGTGCACGAGGCAACAATACGTTGGGATATATCTAGCAGAAGATACATTGACTGCATGAGCGAAACATACAATCTTCTAAAGAAATTAAGTTACAACAGACAACTGAGAAAATTATTTTTGGAATTTAGCTGTAACAATTACGACTACTCCTTTGACAACGAGGATGACAGGTATTACCAGATTACAGAGTAATCTTATTAAAAAGAAAAAAAAAATTGACTTTTGTTCCTAGAATTCAATAAGGTTGCAATTATTGTTTATCTGTTAGTAGCTATTATTTCCCGATATCGCTAACGGAATGTGTGGTAAAAATTATTGAGACTTCTAACCACCTGGAAGCTCTGAGTCTGGGATGCTCAGAAGAGCTAACAGCAAATGCGAGTATAATTCTGGAGCCTCTCCGTCTTCACCACGCCAAGCACTTAACGCACCTCAGTCTGGCGTCCATTAAAGATGACCCTGAATACTACGATCTTTATGAGCTCGATAATTCAATCTTCAATTCGTTTATCAGATTATCCATTTTAACCTTGGATTACGAATATGTCAGTGATACCTTGTTGAAGGCGCTCGATAACGGATGCATGCAAAGACTCGTGATTCATGTGCACGGCTGGAAAGATTATCCAGGAACGACGAATAGGGCCTGGCAAGTGTTTGTTCAGAAGAAGTGAGTTGCACCGATTACTTTAATCAGTCGACAGGCTGAAATTATTTCCGTCACAACGGGAAAGTAGCGACTTGATAAAGAAACCCTGATATCAACTACTCGTTTGTTCGTTCGTTGCAGCCCACAATGTGAATTGAGACTCAACCTCATACATTCTTATCGCGGCGTTAAAGTTTTGGACTCCGATATACTTTGCGCAGCAATGCCATTGACACATCTGAAAGTTCTGTTCTGCGAAGGCGTTAATATTAGAGCGTTGCTCCGACTATCAATGTGGTACTCGCATACACTAAAATCGTTGACGTGGATTGACTCGATAGATCGTAAACAATATATGCCAGCCACGCTCGATCCAAACGATCCAAATAGGTAAGGTGGTTCATCCCCCGTACCTGCGTCGCGGAAGCGACTCGTCTACTCGACGAGTGTCTAATCGAATGTCTGTGTGATTTTGCGTTGTAGCCCGGATCCGCTGGTGTTGGCGGCATGGAAGTGCACCAAACTCACGAAAATCGTGTTCTTAGGCCACAAATATTATCAAGAGAATCTATTGGCCATCGCGCGTCTGCGAGGAAGCACTCTTCAGGTGTTGGCCTTCGCGAAGAGTGATATCACATCCGAGAATGAATCGTGGCACAAAACCGAGAGTATCACACACGTGAGTTACTATCTCGAAGAATAATATAGCCGCGATTTTCCACACGATATATCGTTCACTTCCTTATTGGTATATTTGTGTACAAATGCCAAATCGATGCATTTATATCAGCTTGAGTAATAGAAAAACATTAAAATGTCGAAAAAATGGTAGTAATTACAAAGGTATGATCACGTCATGTCCGATGTTTAAGTCGTTAAATTAAATTGTCAAAAATCGTTTTAATGATTAAATGTTTACAAATGTCAGGAAATTCGAGAGATCATGGGTCTGCATTGGATGCCGTTGAGCGACTCAGATCTACCAATGGTGATATTAGATCCTTTCAAAGGCGACAGCAGAGAAGTGATTACGCCGCTGGTTCTCAGAGACCAGAAGTAATTCCGCAACGAAAGTCATGGAAAATTATCTCTACCCAGTGTGAACGTATCCGGCAACCACGAGGACTTCCAGACCAACTGGCATCCTGAACAGTAAAGTCTCATTGGGTTACATCTTATTCTTTTGTAAGATCTTTTGCTTATCTTTTCGTTTTTTTTTTTTTTTTTTTTTTTTTTTTTTTTTTTTTTTTTTTTTTTTATGAGACATACGGCCGAGGCATATCTCGAGCGGCGGCGAAATACGTGCTGTAAACTCGAAATTTCGCGTTGCCAGCGGTATTAGTCTCCCGAGGTGAGAATTGTATTAGGATACAATGTGTATAACAGAGTGGTGAACGCACACGTAACTTTTCCTTGTTTACGATATTTCTCGTCGTTTCGTATAGATAAATGTGATAAAACTGTCGTAGTTAACTAAATCGATTTCGATTTGCCGCGATGGCTAAGTACGAACCGATGCAAATCACGAGGAGTTTGCAACAAACAGTGAAAACGATCTCTTCGTATGGAGAACACACGCGCGGTGATTTATATATACTATAATTTCTTTTCCTTTATATGGGAAGCACGAGCGCTTTGACATTGACGAAGATGTAACGCGCTATAAAATACGATCACGTACACGTTAATGCACCGTAAGAAGCAATATACGCTGAACGATCGTCCCTCTCGCCTAAAATCAATGTGTTTACCGGAACGAAAATATCCAGAATACATTTTTTATATTAATCACGATAATATTCCGGTTAACGAGCAGCAGCACGTTAAAGAACGTTGCGACTGAGAACGGTATCGCAGTCTCGAGAGAGAGAGAAATTTGCCTCTCGAATCTTTCGACAGATTTATAACCGCATGCGAAATGCGGTCAGAGCTGTGAGTCGCGAAAAATCGCGAGCGACCTGTCCATTAATAAGTGGAAGACGAAAAATTATCAGAACTGCGACACGCGTGAGAAAGGAAGGGGAGAGGCTCGATCTCATGATCTTCCATTGGAAAGGATAACGCGAATTCCAAATGTGTGGTGGTGCAAAGCGACAACAAAAGACGCGTTAACAACATATTTTTCCAATTCTCTGCGAGCGAGTAATAAATAAAATGTAAAAGCGTGCGCCAAGAGCATGACGTGCGAGAGTAAATATCTTCTAACGCGAATGGAGTTCGTCGGATATAAGCGTCGTGAGTATCGCGCTCTCAAAATGACGGAGAAAAATACGAAGTCGATATATAGCGATCCGAGGTTATTTTTAATACCAAGACCAATCGGACGCTTTTGTATAAATATTAACGTAAAAGAGCGCAGTGTTGAAAAAAATACGCGGATGCGAGTGAAAGAACGTCGGGAAAGAGGTCGAAAGATAGAGAAAGAAAGAAAGAAAGAAAGAAAGAAAGAGTCGTGCTTTAGAGAGCAACACCTGCCTGTGTATAGCATTTATCGACAGGTGCATCGAATAACAAGAATCATAGCGTCGTACGAGTATCCAATGTATAATATATATGTGTATGTATTATATATACATATATATGTATATATATATATATATATATATATGTAAATATATATACACACACGCACATATATATACATATATTGTCTATACTCACTGTGCTCTTAGCGACCGCTTATGACGAACGCATAAATATAGTTGATATCTGTAAAATCGGAGATATATATTAACCGCTAATCGCGTATATATGTATATGTATGTACAATTGTATTATTTGTCGGACTTTAAAACTTCAACATCATCCGGATGCAGCGCGCAATCTATTTCTTTCGTGTATTCTATTTAATGTGATAAGGATTTTGAGAGAGTGAGAATGTGAGAGAGAGAGAGAGAGAGAGAGAGAGAGAGAGAGAGAGAGAGAGAGAGAGAGAGAGTGAAGAGGAGAAGAAGAGGGAGAGGGAGAGAAAGAAACAGAGCGGTCCGTAAGAACAAAGATGAAATACCAAAACGCAGCATATACTGTATAACACGCAGTTTACTATATTCCGAGAGATTATTTACCTCTGTTTTCGAGCCTCTGTATAATTATATTACATTGTCATGTATTTCGTATAATATTGTTGTCACGTATAATATTGTTTTTATATGTGATTTCTCAGTGCATGTATGTACATAAAACATTTCTCGCTTATTGTTTTCCGAAACACGATGAATACGTGCGCGAATAATATATGTGCAGTCGCATATATATATGTGTGTGCGCGGGTAAGAAGAAAATGCAGATCAAAGTAGAGAAACGTTCGACCGTGAGTTAGATGACAAAACGAAGAGGGGAAAAAAAGAAAAAAAGAAAAAAAACAAGAAAGCGCGGAGAAAATCTTTCTGTTTTGACGGACGACCATACTGTTATACAAGATGAACGGGCCTTTTAACATGTACCTGAGTCGCGGTAAGAGTAAATTCATCGACAAATCTGATACGCGATGTATAATACCATAGAGGCAGGAGATAACACGTTGAACACCTTACAACGATCGTATCCCAACAAACGTGCGTGAGGAAGGATTAGAACAAGCTAATCGGAAACACGGTAGTAAAGTACATATGCGTTTGCACATATGTATGTATATATACTTATATATATCTACATATATATGTATATTTATATATTTATGTAACATAAATGTATGAATATATTTATATAATATTTATATATACTTATATATGTATATAAATTATACGCGCACATACACGCACATACGTAACAAATGGTATGCGAACTGCGTAGAAAAGAAAATTCGATAATCATCATCTCCACAGATCGAGAGAAGTGAGAGACAGACAGAGAGAGAGAGAGAGAGAGAGAGAGAGAGAGAGAGAGAGAGAGAGAGAGAGAGAGAGAGAAAGCAATGTGCACGCACGTTTGTCTGGTGGACGACACTGTTGCAACACTCGTGCAAGTGCCCTTTCATTTCGTATTCCGTACGAGTATATTCTTTTGCGCGAAGAAAAATGGGGAAAAGTCTAACCGCGAGACGAAAGAGAGAAGGGAGATCGACGACGAGATCTCGAGAAATCGCGACTATTTACCGTGCGAACCGTAGTAATGTGAACGTGTCACGGTGACGCACGTCGTTCGTTGGCTCACCGTCGATATCGTGCAGATTTTTTCTGAACGAAGAGTAATTTTACGTTTTTCCTCCTTTTTCTTTTTTTAATCAAACGGAAATTCCGCATATAAGGGGAAGAAGAAGAAAGAACTATATTCGGGGATGCGATGCCCGGCGTATGAATGTGATAAGTGAGTGACTGAGAATGAAAGAGAGAGAGAGAGAAATAGCAAAAAAATGTTTATAAATGCGGAACGAGAAAGGATATTGCAATTGCGATAATTGCGCGAGAGAAAGAGAGAAGAGAGAGAGAGAGAGAGAGAGAGAGAGAGAGAGAGAGAGAGAGAGAGAGAGAGAGAGAGAGCGCGACTAGCGAGTAGTGAGTGCGAAGAAAGAACGGGAGAGGAACGATAGAGTGTGTTTTGAGAGAGCGGTAAAGATAATGTACGTTTGGATGTACGGTATATAACGGAAATACCGCAAATCGTAGAAGACAAATCGAGTGATACGAATAGTACCATCTCTTCGCGTCGAATCCTCTGTAATAAGTAATATCGTTAGTAGAAAAAGAAAAGGAAGAAGAAGAAACAAGGCAGTCGTGCAGCCGTTCACACAACGCGGGCACAACGCGGTCACAAAGTAAAAACCCACGCGTCGATAACGTGTGATAAGCGACAAAATACCACAAGCATAAGACTGAACCTGCCGAGAGAGGTAACATGTACAACAAAGTTGAGCGGGCTGCACGTTGCTGCGCGTCGTTAGTCGACCTCGCATTCATAAAAGAAGGACGAACCGGACGGAATGGAAAGTACATGTATATGTAGATTCATCTCTCGAGAGCGCTGACGTTTCCGGGGGAAAACTCGGTGGTGCGCGATCCTTCCTCCTTGATTTCACGGTATATCGTTTTACCGGCGCTTTAAAGAAAGAAAGAAAAAAAAAAGAGAGAGAGAGAGAGAGAGAGAGAAAACGGCACTTGAAACTGTTTCCTTTCCAACGTCGCTATCTCTCTCCGTCCGTTCGTTGCTTCCATACGATGGATTGCACTTCGCGACCGGTGCGATCTCTCAGTGAACGCGAATGTATCTGTTTATGAATGTGTGCGTCGCGAGACACAACAAACAAGAAGAAAAAATAAAACATAAAGGGATGGTGCCCCAAGCTAGCGTTTAGATCGGAGATATAAGCCCTGACGGAGCTCACTCGACGACGGTTCTCGGTAGCCGATATCATAAAACTTAAACCCTTAAGCAGCCTGCCAAGAATCAAAATACTGTGTAAAATATCAAGCGAACGCTAGGCAGTACAGAATGCTAAGATCTATTTTTTAAGAAGCGAATGTATATTTTTCTACTAAGGCAGGCCTTAGTGTGCGATTATATTTTCTTGCGCGCAATTACGAGACGAGAGCTGTGATTATGATAACGTGTCGGCTTGTGGGAGAGAGCGAGCGAGAGCGAGAGAGAGAGAGAGATTCCGAGAGAGAATGAGATCAACATGAGAATGTGTTGAGCGAGTTAACCGCGCGTACTAATACATAAAACACAGGGAGCATGAAACAATAGTCCCTGGTTCGAATGTACCGAGTGAGCTGCAGGCATATAGAAACATAACAGGGCGTTATAAAACCGAGAATAAAACATCTGTGATAAACTAGAAAATCTTACAAGCGTGCTCGAGGGTGGATAAGAAGAAGAAGAAGAAGAAGAAGGAGAAGAAGAAGAAGAAGGAGAAAAATCTACAAGTATCGCCGGAGAAGATAGAAGAGGATTAGGAGGCCGAGGAGAGACACATGAAGAGGAAAGGACACAGACTAATCTACACGCATGTGCATCAACGAAAACTTGGCAACAATCCACTCGCGCGAGACCAACGATTCCACGTGACTCGAAAGGATCACCTCAACCTTGAAGCCCTGATGATACAAGTGGAGCAATTAGAGCCACACGAGGCCGCGCGAGTTTCCCGGGAAACTAAGACGCGACCGTCGTGTTTGTTGTCGCATCGCTAAAGAGCGCGGACGCTTTCTTCGCATTCAGTCGACTTTGAATCGCCAGCGAAATTGGGTTTGATCCACTTGCATTTTCAGCGCTTCGACTAGCGGTAAATTTAGCTCTAGATCTAGAGAGAGAGAGAGAGAGAGAGAGAGAGGGAGAGAGAGAGAGAGAGAGAGAGAGAGAGAGAGAGAGAGAGAGAGAGAGAAAGAGAGAGAGAGGGAGAGAGAAAGTAAAGGGAGGGAAAAGAGAGGACGAGAGAGACTGTCCTTCGACGAGATAGCCCGGTCTAATTTAACGGACGACGACGACGACGACCCGACCAGCTCATCTCGATCGCGCGCCCCACGTGGGTTCGTAACGTTAATTACGTCTTTTTCTTTTCGCTGTACAGCTCGAGCCATTAAACGAGCGTGCACGCGCGCGCGCGCGTCTTTTGCACAATGAATTCTGTTCTAATGCATTCTCATTGCAAAGCGAAGCGCGGACGTACGCTCTCCCGGAGAAGTTTTTCCTTTGCGTACACGAAAACAACCGCCGCTCTCTGTGTAACATTCCACAGCGAGAAGTGAGGACCAGAGACACGCATACGATCGTGCACCGATCGACTTTGACGGATAAAACGTTGCGAAAGCGGGATACACGGTCTTCCTGGACAAACCGTGTGTGTGCCGCGAGCAGTCGCCTCCTGTTGCTTCTGGTCCTCTCGACTCACCCTCATGCTGTAGCGGTGAATTAGCGTCCCTCCGAAACCCGCCGTTGCTGGTGAGAAGCGTTCTTATTTTAGTAAATTATGAGAGAGAGAGAGAGAGAGAGAGAGAGAGAGAGAGAGAGAGAGAGAGAGAGAGAGGGTAAGAAAGCGAGTGAATGAGTTATCGTCGATTGAAACCGACATCGCACAAGATTAATCAGAATACAGCCGGTATGTTGTATGTGTGTGTGTGTGTAGCGTGCATGTATGTGAGTGTACTGGGTTTCAAAACAGTTGGAACACTTTTTTTTAGGTGCAATTCAGAAGGAGGATGTCCAATGTAACAGACTTAATTTCTGGATTTTTTTTCAGAAACAAGTTCTCTCATTAGACCATCATTAGAAAGACGAAAAAAAGTAACATGTTCGTCAACAGTTCTCGAAACCCCGTGCACGCGTAATTGCTTCACTTGGACACGGAGACGCGTATCTTTTCTGTCAGGTCCGCGC